ATAGAGATTTACTCACACTCACACACATAGCTCGGGCTGCTGACCCGAGGCAGAAGCGTCCAAGTAACAATTATAATGGAATGTATCGATATCATTTAACTGTAGCGATCTGACTGTCTCATTCCCCTCTCCCCCTTCCACTGGCTCCAGTTCTAAGTGCTGCTACTACTACTATAACCTAACAGGTTCTTTTCGGGAGGTGCTCGGCTCGAATCTTAGGTGGGACACCGATTATTCTTAAGATCTTCATGGTTTTCCTCAGTCTCTGAAAGCAAAGAGCGGAATAGGACGGCGATTAAGCCACAATCGCTTCACTGTAAAAGATAAAAATGGTAAAGTTATCCCTGTAACAGATTGTGAAGGCCCATAGGGTTGTGAGACGTCGAGACTCACACATTTTCTAGACAATCGGCTCACAAATGGCAGTGAGGTTATCAGCCTTACGCGCCGGCCGCGCTTTAACCTCATGAAGATTCCTGGTACTCATTTCTGTTAGGGGCTGAGTCGACCCAAGGGCCATTAGGTAAACTGAAAAAATCCACTTTATCGGGACTCGAGCCCGCAACCTTCCGACTTGTTGCATAGTGCCTCTACCACCTACATCATTATAATTTATCAATCACCCTACCATTCGACGGCACATGGTCCCATACTGTGAACGTCGTTAAATTAGCAACTAAAAAGTACTGCTAGGAGTAGCAATTGGTGCTGATCTGAGATAGTTCTGGAAAAATCTCTTGATCTTACCGGGAACTGAAAGCCGGCCGTCCGGCCAGTAGCCCGCCGCTACACCATTTAAGCTATACGTACTATCATGTGTTAGTAACCAGACACGGGGGTTGGATTGGTAACTGGATTTATTGAACACTTATAACTCGTAACTACAAAGGATTATAACGCTATCGCTGAACTACCACGCTTAAAAAACACTATAGCGTACGCTAAGTCCCGTTAGTCGTTACTAGGTTATAGTCTTCACTAGGCGTTACTAGGCTACGGCTGCTAACCGTGAAAGTTCTTCTGCTTCGGCGCCCACGTTCTCAGTGGATCGCGGCTGGCTTAGAGTTCACTCTCAACCGCTACTCGTTGAATCACTAGCAATCCTTGTCGGTCGGTCAGTTAAATTTCTGCTGGTCCTCGCCAGCACATTAAATCCTGGTTTCAGGTCCCGTCGGGGCCTATGATCACATTTTTCTTTTAAAGGCTTGTAAGTGTTCTGAAACTTGACCTCCTCTTCAACGGGAGAAGAGTTCTGACTGCTACTGGTCACTACTCTCTCAACTGGGGGTGGCTTGAGTGGGCACTCGCTCAGCAACTGGTCCTTGGTTATCTCTCATTGATTCACTGACTGACTGCTGGCCCTCGCCACCACAGAGATTCTTGGTTCCGAGTCCCATGGGACTGTCTGACGGCTCTGAGTCGGTTCGGTCAGTAGGCCGATCGGTCGGTTGCGCGAGTATCCTTTCCCGCGGATACATGTTTATCGAGCAGTGGAAACGTGTTTATTTTGTCGTTGCCTAGCAGTGGGCAAAGTTTAAAGTATCATGTCAGTAATATATATTATCTTACATGTGGTTCCATGTGATGTAGAGTACAGGTAAAGCTATCCCTGTAACAGGCCATGGAGGCCCATAGGTTTGTCAGCCTTAAGCGCCGGCCGCCCTTCACCGCCACGAAGATTCCTGGTACTCATTTCTGTTAGAGGCTGAGTCGACCCAGGGCCATAGTGCGCCTGGAAGGACTAGATCAATTGAAAAATTCCACCTTATCTGGACTCGAACCCACGACCTTCCGACTTGTAGCATAGTACCTCGACTAACTATGCTACAACGTGCCTGTGTGAAGAGGGGGGGGGGGAATACCTCCAGCGTGACCTTGCGAGTCACAGGAGACGACGAAAATGGAAGTCTCAAATCTGAGACAGCAAAATATGGTCGCGAGTCCCAAGGGATTGAGATCCCAGAAAAAATGCCCTAGCAAGGGCCAGCAGCATGTACAAAAGACAGACCCGTCCTCTCATCAGGGAGGGCGCCCCACTGCGTAGAGAATACTACTTCCCACTTGCTCCATCGTTGCGTGTTACGAATCTGTTGTCTAGCAGCGGGAGTGTTTGCAGAGCCGTTCCCTAGCAACGACTGTCTCTGCTGGCTTCACAGTTCTTGCCTTGAGCAAATATGCCACAGTATCATCTATAGTGATTTACACAACAGAATGCACGAAATTTCAGAGAAGAATATCTTGTTTCTCCGCACAGTCTCCTGTAAGTCTTCGTAAATTTATGGTTATTGACATCTACTGTCTGTGTTCTAGAGCCAACCAATGGGTCGTGTGGAACTTGCCAGGGCAGTGTCTGGATCTGCTTTGTGGGAGGTAGGTTGACGCAAAGTAACTAAGGAAGGGGGCCTCAGTCAAACCCACTATGCATTCTATTGAAAATGACCAATACAAAGGCACGAACAAGCTATCATTTCAGAACCACAAGTTAGTCCATATACGCCTACAGCATTACGATTCTGCAAGGTCGAGAACGAACTTCGACTTAATACATAAATGCGATTAACACTGATCCCTGCCAACGTATACACAACAACATTTCGGTCAACTGAATTGTTTGGTGCAAAAGGGGAACAGCTCCACGCTTATAAACTTGTGGGGAAGAGTACAAATTGAAACCGCTTTCACAGATATTGCACCTTTACGGTTTCTATGAAGCCCACAGGATTATGGCAAGTCGAGATCAGTTTCAAATGCAATGTAATTGGATTTCCTCTTTCCAGTCCAAGGAGCATGAAGTAGGATATGGTTGGGGTTTGGCTGAGAAATAATGTGCTTTACCTTGCAGCCAGGTAGTTGACCTATCGACTCAGCTGTACATTGTACCAGAGACCAGCTGCTGCTTCAAGACGGAATATAAATCCTAAGAAATGGAGTACTCTTTACGCTATAGGCCTAAGAGCAAACAGTACTCCTGCCTGTGAAATAAACGTGGAATTTCCTGGCTGGACTATTGATTCTTGAGTGGGGAGATCTCTCCATGTTAGGTGGGTCCCTTGACAGCACGGCACGGCGCGTCCTCATGTTGCGGATGGAGGACACGGCCTACAGATACGGTGAGTAGATGCGAATATATTGAATCAGCAGTCACGGACAACCGGCAAGGGGTGGCCCTTCAGCTTGGGAGTTGGGCGTGTGGTTAACAAATCCTTACGGTAAAAAAAAAATAAGCTTGTTACGAAATGTTATAAAGGACCTCGGACGTGGATGGATTCTATGGATAAACGACCTAAGAGAAAGAAAATGTATATGAGATTTGGACCTTGGAATGTTAGAAGTCTATAAAGGGCAGGTTCGCTCATGACAGTTGCGGAAGAAATATCAAAATATAAGATATATTTAGCGGGAGTACAGGAGGTCAGATGGGACGGAGGTGACCGAACCAGCAGACGAATATACATTTTTCTGTGGAAAGGGGAAAGAAAATCATGAATTAGATACAGGTTTTTTATTATGTAAGAGAATCGTATCAGCAGTTACGAGGGGGAGGAGTTTGTTAGTGATACAATATCACACATAACACTAAGAGGTCGCTGGTGTGATATCATTGTTATGAATGTTAATGCCCAAACAGAGGATAAAACTGATGATATGAAAGACAGCTTCTATATGGAACTGAATCTGTATTTGATAAAGTCCCTTAATACTACATGAAAATTTTGTTATGGGATTTCAATATCAAAGTGGGTAAGGAAGACATTTTCAAACCAACGAATGAGAAAGACAGTTGCATGAAATTAGTAATGATAATGGAGTTAGAGTAGTAAACTTTGCCACACCCAAAAATCTGACAAAAGTACACTGTTCCCTCATCATAACATTCATAAATTTACTTGGATATCTCTGGATGGAAAGACTTACAATCAAAATTTCATATATGTTGATAGAAAGGAGATGGAATACAATCGTACTGGATGTATGATCATTCAGGGAAGCAGAATGTGATGCTCACTACTACCTGGTGGTGGAAAATTTAGGGAGAAACTGGCAGTGAGTAAACAAACAACGCACAGATTTCATAATCGAAAACCACAGAAATTGTGACTAACAACAACATGGTTATCATTCCCCATCCTCCTTACTCGCCGGACTTAGCCCCCTGTGATTTTGCTTTGTTTCCCAAATTGAAAATGAAACGTTTTGAAAGAGTGTCTGACATCCAAAAGAAATATCGCAAGCGGTACTAGACAGCATTAAGGAAAATGACTTCCATGGTCCTTATGAAGTGTGGAAAAAAAGGAAGAGATGGGATCGCTGTATACGTTCTCAAGGAGACTGCTTTGAAGGAGACAGCAGCTAAAACTGTGTAATTTAAGCCAGCATTTTTTTTATGTAGTTCGGGAACTTTCTGATAGCACCTTGTACACTGTATATTCCATTAATACCATAAACTTTCTGAACAAGTAATTGCTACTGATGAATCATCTTATATTTTACTGTAACTGCTGAGAAGGGCAGCGCCATAGCTCAAGCGGTTAGTGTCTGGCTTCCCACCGCGGCGGCCCGGGTTCGTTCCCGAGTCTGGTCAAGTGGGATTTGTGGTGGACAAAGTGGCGCTGGGGCAGGTTTTCTCCGGGTACTTCGGTTTCCCCTGCCAATCTTCATTCCACCAATTGCTCCACAATCACCCTCACCTATCATCTGGGGCTGGTACAATAGGCCAGAAGTGGCCGCAGTACAAGGGACTTAGTCCCACCCCACTAGCAATAAAAAAAAACTGCTGAGAAATTTATCATGGTGAACTACAAAGGGTAGACAAAATAATGTAAACACTAAGAAATTAAGGAACAGAAATTCATTGAGAATTGTGGAGCCATATCTCCACTGTCCCATACGACTTCATAGTGTGTGCTTAATTAATTAAGCACAGATACAACTTTACCTTACGTTATTGTAATGTCTATAGCTTAAAAATGAAATTCATTTATAAAATAGTAATAGCTTACCTGCCATATGCTGTTCCCAGTAGATATTCTGGAATTACAAGTGCAACCATTGGCCAGAGAGCACTGGCAAGCATTGAGTAGGCTACACCTAGGATAGACTGTAAAGAAAGCAATTATCAGTATCAACATTTACATGATACCATGTCCACTAAATACAGTAAGCTGAACTTCAATATATGGAAAGGACAAATATTATATTTGCAGAGCAAGGATTACTAGTAGTTACTATAGGATTCTGATGAAGGTGTATAACACATCTTAAAAACCAGTACGATGGATGAAGTCCGAAAACCCAATATCTCCAAGGATTACTAACTCCACTTCACAGCTAGTTTAGATACTTAAACTCAGAGACACTTCAACACTGCCACCATAACAGAACTTGAACTCCATGCAGCTGAACCCTCTTTGAGAAGCTTCCAGTTATGCAGCTACATAAGAATTTCCAAACATTTTATGGAACCAAAAGGTTCATTACTGTGTTCACAAGAGCCCTCCAATGGTCCCTATCCTCAGTAAGATCAATTCAGTCCATACCACCCCATTCTATCCAAGATCCACCTTAATATGATCTAGTCTTCCTATTGGTCTCTTTCCTTCTTGCCTTCCACCTAAATCCTATATGCAGTCCTCTTCTCCCACATCCATGCCACATGCCCTGCCCATCTCATCCTTCTTGACATGGTCATTCTATTTATACTTGGTGAACAGTACAAGTTATGAAGTTTCTCATTGTAAAATGTTCTCCAAGCTCCTATCACTTCATCCCTCTTCGGTCCACATATTCTCCTCAGCACCCTATTTTCATGCATTTTCGTTTTATGCTCCCTTAATGTCAGACATCAGGCTTCACACCCACACAAAACTACAGGCAAAATTGTAGTTCTGCATATTTTAATTTTTACGTTTTCAGACAGTAGATGAAAAGACAAAAGGTTCTGAACTCAAGGCCTGCAAGCATTATCAGAATTCAATCTGATCCTTATTTCTTCATGAATCATATTTTGATTTGTTATTGTCCTTCCCATATATTTCAAATGTGCCACATTTTTAAAGGATTTTTATGTTGTGATTTTGCCCTGTATTTAGTCATACCTAAATATTTTAAATTTGACACATGTTCAAAATACGTTACTTATCCTTAAGTTATGATTTTGCCCTGCATTTCCTCATTCACAAATATCTGAACATTGTCACATTTTCAACAGATTTGTCAGTCATCTTTGTGTTATGATTTTGCACTGCATTCTGGTGACAAGACATTAACATACTGTAGCATGTAGACCCATGGCTAAGTAATGACTCCATAAATAAAGCCCATTGCTAGACAACAGATTCCTAACAAACACTAATGGACTAACTATGAAGTGGTGCTATCTACGCATTCCGTCGGCCACCTGTGTGTCGCAACAATAGAAGAACTGCTGGAAGCTGTGTTTTCTATGTGGTCCACTCTGAGGCTATATCGTCCAACTGACTGAGTTCAGTTTATACAATAATATGCCTATGGCAGCAGTGTTCTTGGACATCAAAAAGGCCTTTGTTATCACATAGCACTCTGGCGTGCTATATAAGTTATGTAAATTGGAATTTTCGGCCAGTTTGACCAAGTTCATTAGCTCCTTTCTTTCACAACGCAAACTCAATGTTTCAATGGAAGACAAAATGTCTGCACCAATGGAAACGTGAGCAGTGGTGCCTCAAGGTTCTGTTCTGTTCTGTATTTTGTACAACATGTACGCAGTTAAGTCAGTAAGTAAGTTACAAATGGATATAGAACTTAAACAAATGAGAGTACTGATTTGAAAAATGCTTTTATTTCTCAACATAATCTCCCTGTACATTGAGGTACTTGTCCCATCGTTTCACAAGCCCCTGAAAACCAGCAGAATAAAATTCTTTGGGCTGCTGTCAGAACCAGGCAGTGACTGGGATCACGAAGGCATACTGCTCACCGCATTCCAGGCTCAAGGACAAACCATAAATGCCAACTCCTACTGTAACATCCTCAGGAAACTTCATAAGGCCATTCAACAGAAGTGACCAGGACTCCTCACCAAAGGCGTGTTGCTCTTGCATGAAAACGCACGTCCCCATACTGCCAACAGGACAAATGAGATGCTGCAAAATTTCAAGTGGGAAGTCTTTGAGCATCCTCCGTATAGCCCTGACCTTGCTCCAAGTGACTTCCATTTGTTCAGCCCTCTTAATATGATCTTTCGGCTGAACATTTTCCTGACAATGAAGCTGTAGAAAGGGAATTCACTGCCTGGTTACAACAGCAGCGCAAAGAATTTTATGCTGCTGGTTTTCAGGGGCTTGTGAAACAATGGGACAAGTAACTCAATGTACAGGGAGATTATGATGAGAAATAAAAGCATTTTTCAAATCAGTACTCTTATTTGTTTAAGTTCCATATCCATTTGTAACTTACTTATTGACTTACCCTTGTATATAAATGATGCCCCAAAACACCTGGAGTTTACCTAACCCTCTCTGCTGATGACACTTGTCTGTACATGACAGATCAAAAGAAGGGTTTAGTTGTCAGAAATCTCCAGTGTGGTTTCAGCTCAATGAAGTCCTGGTGTGAGCACTGGAATATTAAAATAAATGAAGATGAGACTCAGGGGATTTACTTTTCTCACAGCCATCGACCACCTGAGTCTTATCTTACACTGAATGAACAAAATATTCCATTTGTAAATAGTGCAACATATCTCGGTGTAATCTTTGATAAAGGGGGTTACATGGAAATTACAAATAGAAATGTTCGAAGCCAAGGCCTTCAGAACATTTACACATATTAGAATATATTTCCTGTAATAAAATGAGTGATTAAGCACTGACATTAAACTGACCCATCACAAAGCGCTCATTAGGAGTATCATGACTCATGCTTGCCCCACCTGGGAGTTTGCAGCAGACAACCATCTACTGAAATTGCAGTGCCTGCAAAACTAAGTTCTCCACACCACTGGAAATTTTCCAAGGCGCACACCAGTCTGCGATGTGCACATGGCTTTCAAACTTCCATACATATATGACTATGCAGGTAACAAGCAGAAGTCATACAAAATCATGAAAATGGAAATGTTCCCAACATTGAACAAGCTGAACACTGACAAAGGAAAGTATAAAATGCTTAAACTTGGTGGCAGTGAAGCATATGACCGTTTCAAGTGACTAGACTGCCGTGGTAGCGAATACTACTAGAAATAGGGCATAATCTGCTGTACTGAGCCTGGACTGACAGAGGCCTTGTATATGTTCTATATACATAAATTTAATAAAATGTAAATTGTACATACTGACAACAGACTTATTACTGAGAAATAGAGATCTGGTCTTAAGCCCAGATGGGTGCTTTATTCCAAGACAAAATGGCCTACACGACTGTCGGTCATAACATAATTTTGACTTTGACGGTTAGATATTGCATATACATGCAATATATTTTAATAACATATAAAATGTAAATATATTGTACATACTGACAACTGACTTACTACTGCTGACTGTGACTCTGACAAATGACAGACCCATCATCTCACCAGAGAGGATGCCCCACATGAATAGGGCAGTAACTGTCAAAGAGAAACTAATATCTGGCCATGAGCCCCAGATGGGACTCAATATCAAGACAGACTGACTGACTGATCGTCAGTCGCAATGTGACTTTAACTTTGACCTGAAACTTCACTAGTGCAATGGAGTTGAATCGAGTTGAGTTGATAGTCGACAGTTGCAGGACAGTCACCAGCCAGTAAGAATGTGAGCACATAAGCAGAGGACATTGTTGAAGCCATTACCAGAGAACTGGTGAGTTCCCTAAATGTGTTAAATTAAATACCGGTAGTGTAATTAAGTAAACCGATCAAGAACTCATACTAATGGTAGATACAATATTGTAGGTATGTAAGCAGGCCTAAATATTGCAGACACAAAACACCAAATCTATTGACAATTTTCTCTTCCATAAATTATAATAAGTAACAATACCTAACCTAATAGGTTGAGTGACAGCAGAAAATCATTCACTGATGTGGATTGAAATACAATAGCTTGGCCCAAACTACATAAAAAGCAAGACAGTAAAAGGAATTAAAGCATTAATTAATCATATGTCAACCATGATGCCTTCCTTTACTGACTTATATACAGAATGCGACCATTCTTTCTGACGCACCCTGCATTTGCAAAACAAGCAGTTCCCATTCTTTTGTTGACATAAGCTATTCGTACATCCCACACATTCCGTAAAGCTGAATAAGTATTGCAACGGATATATAAAAGTGAATGTTATCATACACAGTATTACTGCAATGTTTCCTAAAATATCAGCTATGTACTCATTCCAACTGAAAGATTTGTAAATTTATGTAGGTTGTGATATTATTTAATTTCAATAGTTCTGTTACTGGCTTATTAACGTCTATGTATCCACAGTCTGTCAATAATGCAACAATTGCTTATTCACCACTCAACACTTAACACATGTTTCGGCCATAGATGTCATCTTCAGGTGTCTTAATACGTGCAAACTGTTACACTGCTCTTGTGTGAGTTAAGACCATGCGTTGCAGTTCACTTAAAAATAACATGAATATTCATTAAAATCCATTAAAATTTCTATTCAGATTTTTTTGTAAAATGCTATTCCACCTCATAAGGGGTGTAGTCCACTTGTTTGGAGCTATGTGATATTCCAAACGGTTCGTTTCTGCAGCTTGTCTGTCTGTTTGTTAGCCTGTTGTTTTGCTACGTGAAGACAACACCACACGATGCTAGCGGGTACACACAAGCAAGGGGCATATTACAGAGAGCATACGTAGCAAAACAACGGGCTAACAAACAAACAAGCTGCAGAAACGAAACTTTTGGAATATCACATAGATCCAAACAAGTGGACAACACCCCTTATGAGGTGGAATAGCATTTTACAAAAAAATTTGAATAGAAATTTTAATGGATTTTTATTAATTATTTACGTTATTTTTAAGTGGACTGCAACGCACGGTCTTAACTCACAGCAGAGCAGTGTAACAGTTTGCACGCATTGAGACACCTGAAGATGGCCATCTATATCCAAAACATGTGTTTAAGTGTTGAGTGGTGAATAAACAAGTGTTGCGTTGTTGACGGACTTTGGATACGTAGACGTTTAATTAAAGATTTGCAATGGCCGCGCCATAGCTCAAGCGGTTAGTCGCTGGCTTCCCACCTCAGCGGCCGGCTTCAAACCCGGGTCTGGTCAAGTGGGATTTGTGGTGAACAAAGTGGCGCTGGGGTGGGTTTTCTCCGAGTACTTCGGTTTCCCCTCCCAGTCTTCATTCCATCAAATTCTCCATCATCATAATCACCCAGAGCAAGTACAATTGGCCAATCAATGGCCGACGTGCCGAGCGAACCCAGCTGGACTCAACCCCCACTATGCGAATAAAAAAAAAAAAAGATTTCCAACAGGATTCTGAAAAACAGAATTACTGGCTTATCTTTAAAAATTACAATATAGTTATTACCACGGTGCCTGTAATTCCTCATGAACATTACCACGGACGACCACGGGTGAACACATTACTGTCACATTTTTATTGCTATGTAACTAACTAATTCTAAATTGTAATCAGCAGTAAAAAATTGTAACTATTGTAATTTTAATCTACTTATATATCAAATTGTTAATATTCAGAATTAACTTGACTTGTCATATATCATGTACAATGATCTACAGTGACGAAATAAATCAATCAATCAAAAAACGCATTCGTAGGTTTCTTGGTTGTTGTGGTGACACTGCACGGAGAAGTATGTGATTGGTGGTGGTGGTGGTGTTGGTATATACGGAGTGTCGTTACTCCAGAATTTATTAAGGATTCACACTACAAAAGGTCAGTATAATAATTCTGAACTACACTTGTCGAATTAATATAAACTCTTTTCAAAACACAGCATGATTTTGTTGCTTATAGTAGCTTCATGGTTACACTGTTGTTAATCTAGACAGTTGTATAGGTTATGTTTTTAATACAGTATTCGTTTTTGTGATTTCAGCAGTACCATGGGGCGAAGAAAAAGTAAGCGAAAGCCACCACCAAAGAGGAAGGCAATTGAGCCTTTAGATCTTCAGTTCAACTGCCCATTTTGTAACCACGAGAAGTCGTGTGAAGTAAAAATGTAATTATGGCTTTGAGTTTTTTTTATCATTATGTCCTATATGTTTGTTTTATTTTCCATGTTTGTCAGTGTTGGTGCTTATATAGGATACGATGTTTGTAAAAGTTAAATTCTCCATTGTTTCAGGGATAAAGGACGAAACACAGCCAAAATAACGTGTAGAGTTTGTCTTGAAGATTACCAGGCAACTATAAACTTTTTGTCAGAGCCAGTTGATGTTTATAATGATTGGATTGATGCTTGTGAATGTGCAAATTGATTTATTCAATATGATTTAAGAATTGTGTCACTACATATTTTGCTATAATTGGTAAAGCTGTGAATGTTGTGATTTCTGTAGAGGTATGCTTGTAATATATACTGATAGTTGAATATATTTACAAATTTAGTATACATTATGTAAATAACCCAGAAATTTTAAAATATTTTACATTTATTAGCATTTTCAAAAAAGGTAAATGTAGTGTGTGTGAATGTAGATTAGATAAAGCTTTTAAGTGACTAGGCAACAGAATAGTGTAGAATGAAACATCTTTTGTTAGTACTTATTGCCTTGTTCACATCTATACATGTGTGTGTGCATGTGTGTTTTTTAACTGATTCCCTAGAAAATGTGGGACCCTCGTCTCACAACCCTATGGGCCTCCACAGCCTGTTACAGGGATACCTTTACATTTTTACCTTCATGTATAAATTTAAAATGGAAAAGTATTTATAATATAGCTACTTCCACCTACCTAAAACTGGACTACATAAAACTGATATTTTTTTGCGCTGTGGGTCTAGCAGTAAAGCTTTGTGACATAATTGAAAGGTGCCTGGTTCAGAGCTTTGCCAGATAAAACAATCCTGACTTATATTTTTGTGCTCTTCCTCAGACCAGGAATATTCCAAGATAATACCTAAAATTAGATCATGACCTCTTCTGCCATTCCAAATTCCTTATTCACTGATGAGCCTATCAATTGACACTCTGTAGTCTATCCTATTCACAGCTTAGTAAGTAAATGCAGTCACAGAGCAAAATACTTCATTTTTAATGGAGTAAACTATTTTATAATGGGACAGATCAATATCCACTCTTCCATTACTTCATATGATACTTATAACGTTTTGAAATAATGCTAAGTATTGCTCAAATTTTCAAAATAGAAAAATTATAAAACTGTAGAAATGATAACTGATTGTTATATCATAATACCCGCATTAATGACATACAAGGTGCGGCAATAAAGAAACCGGATTCATGCTCTAACCCTTTATTGAAAAAAAATCAGACAATCGAAATGTTATCCCCTTCAATGTACAAGCTTGTAGTCCCCTCCCCGATCCCTACACCGCTCCATGCGAATTTTCCACTGTTGGAAAGTGCTGCAGGTCATCTTGTGTTATGCTCTTCAAGAGTTGCGTCGCTTTTGCTTTCACTGCATCCACGGACTCGAACCTGGTCCCTTTGAACGCAGATCATCATTGCTTTCAATTTGGACTTGCTCATGCGGGCTTTCTTCTTCCTAGGGGATTTGGGGCTCTTCCAATGCATGGATTGTCGCTTAGTCTCTGGATCATATTGAAGAATCCAAGTTTCATCACACGTAATTATGTTTTGGAAGAAATCAGGATCATTTTCAATGTTTTCAAGAGTGTCAACACAGCAATTCACTCGATGTTCCTTTTGCTGGGGTGTAAGGATTTTTGGCACCACTTTAGCACACACCTTTTTCATGCCCAGATCGTTGTGCAAAATCTGTCCTAACACTTTCCTTATTGATGTTCGTAAGTTCAGAAATTGCTCGAATGCTCAGTCGACGATCTCTTCGAACAATTCTAGCGACCTTCTCCACATTCTCTGGAGTTTTCGCAGTGGAAGGACGGCACAATTTTGGATCGTTCCCGACGTTTTTCCTACCCCCCATAAACTTCTTAAACCACTTGAAAACTTGCGTGCGAGATAGACACTGATCACCATATACTTCTGTCAATAAATTGTAAGTTTCAGTGGCAGATTTTCAAAGTTTTGTGAGGAATTTGATGTTAACACGTTCTACATTAGCACTCAGCATTATTCCGACGGAGCTCAGACACACAATCCGCTTCTAACAATGGTTGCGGCCAGACTAACCGATGCGTGTGAATGAAACTGTGTGACGGTAGAGGGAAGTCCATGGGTCAATGCCCTACCCTCCTCTTCGTCATCGACGTGGTCAGAAATGAGTCATAAAAGTAATCCAGTTTCTTTATTGCCGCACCTTGTACATAAATATTACTAGCCAATCTAAAAGCATAAACAAATTTACCAAATCTACCACTCATTTAATGTACCATAGTAAGTGATGATCCTCATCTATGTCAAGAATTCCATTGATGAGAGTTCTTGTGAAACTGACAGCCACTTAACTAGTGGAGAAATACTCTACCTTTTAGGGAAACCAGGGGTTCTTTACTGTTCAGAAGGACCCACCATTTGTCATAAGCCAAACTATTATCCATACCTTTCACCCCATTTCTTTAAGATCCATTTTAAAATTACCTATCAACCTACATTTAGGTCATCCAAGTGTGATCTTGCCTTCACATTTTCAAAACAAAACTTTTATGCATGGTATGTGCATCCTACATGCTTCACCCATCTTGACTTGATCATACTAATATATGAGGAAAAGTACAAATTATGAAGCTCAGTTATGCGTTTTCTCAATCCTACTAAAGTAAACAGTAAAGCTATCCGTGTAACAGACCATGAAGGTCCATAGGGTTGTGAGACGTTGAGGGTCCCACATTATCTAGACAACCGGCTCAAAGATGGCGGTAAGGTTGTCAGCCTTACACGCCGACCGCGCTTTACTCCTCAGGAAAATTATTTATTTAATTCCTGGTACGCATTTCTGTTAGAGGCTGAGTGAACCCCAAGGCCATAATGCGGCTGGAAGGATTAGGTCAATCGAAAAAAATTCAATGACATCAGTATTTGAACCCGCAACCTTCCGACTTGTAGCACAGTACCTTAACCACTATGCTACTATCACTTCTTTTCTCCCTTTGGACCAAATATTCTTTGCACCCTGTTCTCAAACACAGGTGTCTCTGTTGACATCACAAAATATTTTGGTATGCGACATGATTATGAGTGAAACATGGCTCCATATCATACAAGAAAGGTATTATCACTTTGACCTTTCACTTGGGATATCCTAGGCTACAACAGACCAAAGTGTGCATCACTTCCCCGAGTGCATATTTGCAACACGCACATTATTTTCATTTTTTTATGAGATCTATACAATTTGAGACAAACTATACACAATAAAGTTGTGTTTGTTTGTAATTTTCTACATTGTAGTGATGCAATTAAATTAATTTTTAGGGTAAAAGGTAAGGTGGAGTCCCTATGCTTAACTCATTAAGCACTGTACCATGAAGGCATATGGGGGAGTGGCTGTATAGATCCACATTTTCTTGACCTCAGCACTAGCATGAGGCGAGTGGTCAGCTTCACCCCCCAGGAAACAGTCCCTGGTTCCCATTGGATATGAGGCTGGGTGGGCCCCAGAGCTGGTCTGGACAATTTGGAGAGAAAATTCTTGACCCTACCGGGACTCGAACTCCAACCCCTTGGTCATCCAGCCCATAGCCAGTCACTATACTAACTACATTATCCCAGCTCCACTAACTTTTAGGGGGAAAATTATTTTCATATTTATGGTAGTCTTGTGTTTGAATCATATATTTTAGAGTGCAACACTGAAGATGAACTCTGCCATGTTTTGATTACCATTTGGAAGTATTTTTAAATTTCTTCCAGTCCTGATGAGTGACTAAGTAAAAAAACAACAGGTCTCTTGCTTCCAACTTTGGCTGGACTTACTAGATCTTATTATTTTTTATTTCCAATTTCTGAAAGAGATATAGTTCATTTCCTCGAATATTAAATATTTCCAGGTATATATAATTAGCCTGAGGGCAGTTTTTGTCACCTTGTCATTTCCATGGAAACCAAATACTGATCTCACTTGATTACAAAAAGCCAGAGGATACTGGCAATGTTCAGCAGCATTTCATTCAGTATTAGTGTTGTCCTTTGCCCCCCCTCCCCTCCCCTCCCCCAAGTGAGTGCAGTCTACTACAATTATGTTCACATTTTATCACACAATCTTTCTAGAACCTTTGAAGTTCATGCCATGCATTTTCAGTGAAGTCATGATTTCAAAGTATCCTTCAAAGGTTATGATGTATAAAAGTGGACACACAGAAACTGTAGCTATAGATGGAAATTTTCACACGGATCAGAAAGCAGCGTGGTGTTTCACTGCTAGCCGGAAGACTGCAACCTAAATGAATGTGTCTGGTTCAGACAGTATTAGCCCACTGTGGTTTAGGAGGAAAGGGTTTTCTTCCACATACCCACAACCAGAATTCAGCATGTACCAGTACCAAACTGAAAACCTTAAGACTTCCCCTTTGACTGGCAGATGAAAAAGAGACACCATCACTGAGATTTTTTTTATTTTATAAAATTATGGTCATACACCATTCCTTACTGGAGCACCAACTTTTACATGTCAAGTAATGGACATGTTTACTTTGGTGAAATTGTGTTGTGTTATAAATCCATACAAAAGGTAAAAAAAGATAAAGCTGTCCCTGTGCTTAACTAATTAAGCATTACACCATGAAGTAGTATGGGGGAGTGGATGCATAGATCCACATTTTCTTGACCATGGCACTAGGTGGAGGTGACTGCACCCCTGGGGAAAGAGTCTCCGATACCCACTGGAGAGGAGGTTGGGTGGACCCCAGCGCCAGTCTGGACAACGTGGAGAAGAGAAAATTCTTGAGCCTACTGGGACTCGAACTCTAACCCCATGGTCATCCAGTTGGCAGCCAGTTGCTATACCGATTGAGCTATCCTGGCTGCCCTATAAATCGATACTAATGAAACAAATTAACACATACTTAAGTGTAATTCTGTTATATTCATGTAAACTGTGTAAACACTTTGCATATTGTCATATAAGAAAATTTACAACTGTGTTACTGTAATAAATAAATTTATTTATGTAATCAGAATAAACACATTCATGCTTTACAACAATCAGTACTCCAAAATAACCCAATGGTTAATCCATATTTCATTCAATCTGAAGGCAGTCTTTCAACTATGCCATTTATTTCTTGAAGCTATTGCATTTCTTTCTTCCTTTCATTTTATCGTTTGAAAAACGGGTATGTTATGTTGAAGTGTACCTTACACTTGAGCAAATGCAACTAACATTCCTCACAGAATCATTTCTATATCATGCAGTCACATATTTGAGAAACAGAATGACCAGTATATTTGAAACAAAGAAAATGTTGCTTCTCCAGTATCTGTTATCCTCAGAACTGTGTTTTACATTTTTGCTATTTCATGTATAAAGCTAAGAATAACTGTTATGGTTTGATGTATTTCCTTTGGCAGCTGAACACTAAGAGCTCTGTACTTTAGAAGTAAAACTCCATCTTTAATATCACAAGTCCGGATAACATACTTCAGTAAGCAACAGATAAGTCTAAAAAAGCAGGGCAATGACTTAATGTGAAATTAAACTGTTTCACCATGACCAAGAACTATACCTGCATTAATGCAGATACCTGGGCAGCACATTGGGTCACTTTGTCCATAGATGAACCCGCACTTAACTTATCAAGCAAAGTCACAATTTCCTTTGAACTATTCACAGACTCAATCAATTCTGTTTTATCTTGTAAGGTATCAGCATCCCAAATCAGAGTACCTAAAGCAACTAAACCTCGAAACAGTGCTTCTGAATCAGACAAACGTGGTAATATCACAGATGAGGCCACCACAGCTCGGGCACGACTCAACGAATCCCGAGTTCGGTTGAAAGCTACAGCAAGATTTAAGAGAAGCGTTGAAATTGCAATCTGCAACAAACAAGGAAACAAACTGCCAACATACATTCAAATTCATCCTAATTTCTTGATGTCCCATGCATAACGCAGCTCCTGTAGCTGTGAATGCAACACTCATGATTAACATTAATTAGTAATTTCAGAGTTAAAGAAATATGTACTCTAAGTATTTACATCGAAGAAGATATGTAGTAAATTAGACAAATTCGGTATTATGATGTTCAAGTAACAAAAAGAATGGAGAAATATATTTAAGAAAATATTTAAACTTATGGATCAAAGGTGTGGGTCCTAGATAAAGTAGGTATTAGTAAACTGAAAGCTCTTTAAGTGGAACTATGTCATCAAATTTTGAGACACGTAATTTGCAACACATTAGGAAAATATTGGTGTGTGGCTATACACAGGCCTACACAAATCCTGGGCACCAGGTCACCAAGGTGCATATATTTTTCATGATGGCACTTCAAATATCTTCCCATTATGTACTACTACAGCACAGCTGCAATTTAATGATCCTCAGCCCCAACTCCAACAGTAAAATTCATCACTTTTGTTAGATCTTCATTTCAACCTCCAACATCAAAGAGTGCAGTTGACAGGTAGTGTTCAGGGTACATACAACAATGTCTACCAGAATTGGGCTTGCAAATAAAGAATACACCTGATCAATATATGATTATTGCCACTGCTGTTTGTTGATGGAAACAAATGATATCACCATCAGTCAATGCTGTTTCGAGCTGAACGGAGCTGTGTGCTAATGAGAGGGATCAGTAAATTCTGGTCATACAGTAGTACATGACCCATCAAAGATCATGTGCAAAATCATTCTTCTTTCTCTTTCCTTTATCACTTCTACAATTTCTATCTCCTTCCCTCCCTTGCATTCCTATCACTCCTATTTGTCTGTACTATCATCAGTCTCTTATCCTTCCTCCCCGCCGTGCATTGGGACAGTTCCCACATTCCTACTGTTCTGTTCCTTTATCTTTTTATATCCATTCTTTTCCCATCACTTTGTTTCCTCCATCCTCTCCCAATATCCTTGAAATTTCATGTTGTCTTTTCTGTAAGCTCACAAGAACTGCCTGCAATTTATATGCAGATGCTTCAATTATCATTTACCTCTTCCCCACAACAAGACCAGCTCTGGGGCTCACCCAGCCTTCTATACAATGGGTACCAGGGGCTGTTTCCCTGGAGGTAAAGCAATTGGGTCATGAAGGTGACCAATCTCCTCCATCTATTGCTGAGGTTTAGAATGATGAGTTACACTCCACCACATATCTTCATGGCACAGTGCTCTATTAATTAAGCTCAAGGATTATTTTACCTTCTTTAACTGAAGCTATTTTATACAACAAACATGGTCACTTAGCCAATTAAAATCACTGCATTAGCATAATGTTGCAATAATCTCCCATTAGAATACAGTCCAAGTCATAGCTAAACACCAGTGCCTCAAAGTAGATTTTATTATTAACAGAAAAGCGCACGAATGTGCATTACATAGATTCTGAGTTTTAGCCTTTGCTATAATCACACAGAGATTTATGGTTGTTTTTACATCTTGTGATGTGGTATACATCGCAGAACTGATCACATAATGAGCACACGCAGTTTTCACTTGGGTCGTGATAAGACAGGTTTTTACTTATTTTATGGTGGTACCCGTGCACTGCTAGTTTTATCACCACGTCTTAGTCTCTGGTTGGCGTTGGTCCAGTTCCAGTTCAACATGGCATCCGTGCTGTAGAAATCTAGAGGTATTTCTTCTCTTTTCCTCCTTCTCTCCACTAGGTGTGCTTCTACATTCTTTGTCGATGGCAGCTGTAGCTTTATCCTCAGCTCTTCGATGAGGAAGGGCTCCCGTGTCAATTCATATGTTAGGCGGGAGCGCGTGTGTTTTGAAATGCCCATTATGGTTTTCAGGAATTTTGCTTTCACTCCCTCGACGTTGGCCAGATCTTTTTTCGACAGTTTTTCCCATATCAGGTGAATCCCGTAGGTGAGTATTGGTAGGATTCTTGTGTCAAATAGACTCATAGCTGTCTTTAAGCATAGATGCTGTAAGTTGTTAATGTCGTACATGGCTTTCATGGCTGCCAGTGCTTTGTCTTTGATGTGTAATCTGAACGTCCCGGTAGTCTGTAAAGTGATTCCCAGGTATTTAAACGAATTTACTATTTCAACTTTGTCCTCTTCATATTGTAGGTTGTCGTCTGCTGCTGTGCGTCCACCCTTCTGGAAGACCATCTGTTGGGTTTTTGCCCAGTTTATCTTTAGACTGTTATTTCCTGCCCATTCTACCAGTGCTGAGAAGGCGTGTTGGAGTTCTTCCTTGTTTGGTGATCCTAGGACCATGTCGTCCGCATACATATATATCACTGCATCTTTCGACCTTTCTCGTATTGCTGCTATTACATCCACTGTGGCAATACTGAATAATATGTGGCTGAGGGGGTCCCCTTGTGGTACTCCTTTGGTTTGGGTGATTTCTTTTGTTTTGCAGATCACATCATCTATGGTGATTTGGTTGTATGCCAGGATATTTTTTACTATGACAGTAGATTTGAACCATCAAACCCAGACTGTGCTTGTGGCCACTAGGCTTGGTCATAAGACTGTGATGCTAATGTACTAGCGGCCAGTAGTTGTCTCATATACTCACATATTACTTATTGGACACCAACATACCTGGTACCTATCCGAGGCTCTGAGTCCGTAATTATTCACTCAACTTTCCCTCCTGAAATACCTTCCTGCCAATGACTGGTTATGAAAATTTACCTGCATCTGCTTATTGAAGGGTGGAGTGATGTCAAATACAACTGAAAGCAAATAGTCCTTGTGCCTGATGGCTAGGGCCTCCCCCTCAGGATGTGACAGCATATTACACAGGATGCGTAGTGACAGCATCTGGTTGGCTGTCAGCGAATGAGATACGAGAAAACGCTGCAAATGGCCAATCAGTTGATCACCCATGATGCCAGAGCAAAGGTCAGAGTTGATTTCTGCATTACGAACTGCCAATCTTACAATGTCCAGCACTGGGAATACAATATCTGTAAGACAGAAATACATCTTTAAAGTCATAGTCACTAAAATCCAAGTGGTCATGCCAGTTGCCAGCTACCCACCGCTGTGGCTTGGGTTTTATCCCAGGTCAGGACATGTGGAATCTGTGGTGGACAAAATAGTATTAGGACAAGTTTTCTCCAAGTACTTCAATTTCGCCTAGCAATTCTCATTCTCCCAACTGCTCCATATTCATTCATCATCCTATCACTGATGCTGCAATCTCCAGTCTGAGAGCATAATTAAATAAGAACAAAAGGAACCCATGAATTATTACTTGGTTCTATCAAACAGTTTCCGAAATTTGAATTTTGCGCATGAATGGTTATGAGTACAACGAAATACCACTAGGTGTCTCCCCACACACCCTTCTTGAATCAGTGTGGCAAGCGGCGTTGAGTTGAGTGGTTGGGTTTATTGTTGGTGAACGTATTTCCACTGTTGTGTTTCCGTGAGTTTGCGGTTTTGCGATGAGTGACCTGAGAGAGCAGCGTGTCTGTATAAAGTTCTGTTTCAAACTTGGGAAAACCGCTGCAGAAACGCACCAAATGTTGAAGCAAGGTTTTTGTTGCAACAGTTTAGGCCAGACACAAACTTATGACTGGTATAAGCATTTCAAAAATGGCTGAACTTCGACTGATGATGATGATGATCATTCGGGACAGCTGTCAACTGGCACCACACCAGAAAATGTCACAAAAGTTAGGGATCTGATTCTGCAAGATCGTAGACTGACCATCCAAGACCTCTGTAACACCTTGGGACTAAGTTATGGTACATGTCAACAAATTTTGTCGGAGGAACTGAACGTGAGAATTGCGGCAAAGTTTGTGCCATGACTGCTGCAAAATGAACAGAAGCAGCATCGCTTGGAAGTCTGCAGGGAACTTCAACAACAGCTTCAAGAGGATCCAAACTTTCTTTTGAAGGTTGTCACTGGTGATGAAAGTGATGGCTATGACCCTGAAGGTAAACAGCAACTGTCACAATGGAAGAGCCCTTCTTCACCTCGGCAAAAAAAAAAAAAAGGCTGGACAAGTCAAGAGCAACATTAAGTCCATGTTGATGTGCTTCTTATACTGACGGGATTGTTCATAAGGAGTTCGTCCCTTCTGGTCAGACAGTCATTGAAGGGTTCTATCACGATGTTCTAAGGCATCTGAGGGAGGGCATGAGGAGGAAACGTCCAGAGAAGTGGCGCACGAACAACTGGGTACTCCACCATGACAACGCACGACCATATACAGCTTACATTGTGCAGGAATTTTTATCTAAAAACAAGATGGCAGTTCTTTCCCACCTTCCATACTCACCAGACTTAGCTCCATGGGCCTTCTTTCTCTTCCCCAAGATGAAAATCAAGTTGAAGGGGCAAAGATTTGACACAGTTGAGGAAATTCAAGCAGAAACTCAGACAGTACTAAACACCCTAACAAAGAAAGACTTCCAGGATGCATTTGAAAAGTGGCAGAAACGCTATGATCAGTGTATGCGCACCCAAGGGGACTACTTTGAAGGTGATGTGCAGAATAAGATCTAGGTAAGATGTAATAGTTCTTATTAATATATTTCAGGAACTTTTGGACAGCACCACGTATATATCATTTTAACCTTTACAATGTCAAGACCATTTACAATATTTAGTCACACAATTTACACGCCTTTCCTTAGCCCAAGAACTGTGTTTGAAATTGTGGTGCATAAAATATATTAATACTGTTCTTCAAGCAAAATTTTACATGTCACATTGAAACAGTTACAGCTGAATGTGATGTGGCAGGGATATATACACTTCCAGACCTCACTACATGATTCTTCAATGAACATAGAGACAAAATGCCCCTTGATAAAATTTCAATGAATGCACAATTTGTGGGAAAATGTGACTAAACATGAATGTAATGTGGAAACACGCTACGGATATTTGTACCTACAAACTCAAATATGATATTCCTTGATGAAGACAGAGAAGAAAATTCCCCTGATAAATTTTTGATCAACATATGATTTTCATGGAAAACGTCACTGATGTTCCCAATGCTGTGTTCCTACAATGCATTAAATTGTCACATTTTTTGGGAAAATTACTTATGTTAAATTTTATCAAGGATAAAATACAGTATTTAATTTTCCCCTGAATTTTTTTTTGTCTAAATGTAGGTCAGATAAGGTAAGGTAAAGTTGTCCCTGTGCTTAAGTAATTAAGCACTACACCATGAAGATGTATGGAGGAGTGGATGTCTAAACGTAGGCACGTGTAAATATGAGTAAATATAGTAATCAGCAATAAAAGAATGGAATAATATCACTGTGCTGATCATACTGTCACATGTCCAGACACAGACCTAATAACCCTTCACCAATCAATGTTCCATCACTAAACTTTTACAAAAACCTCGGAGCTGGATGGGATCTTTGAAATAACCAAGTCTGATGTCTGATGTCTGAAGAAGGCATGAAATAAGCAAGGAATTTAGGATACTACCTCAGAATGGACCTCATGACTTATACAGGTCATCTAGCATTGTACCTTGCCTACTACCTGCACATGGGTGGGTGGGGGGAGGCTGATATGCTTTCATCATATAGACAGCTATGCCAATAGGAGCTTACCCTCCTGGTAGTTACCCATGCTACATAGGTAGAAGGGTAGGGGATAGATAAATGATAACCCCTTGTCCTCCATTACAGAAGTTAAGCATGAGGCTAACACCCTCGACTCAGAAAAATATGCTAAGAAACCTAAAAAAAGATGTCAGATTTGAGAAGAATGGGCATCTGTTGTGAAGGAGGCCAAGGTTCTTAGAGGTCTGTAGAGACAAGCAGGAAATAGATTCATCCTTTATTATCAAAGTATCATTCATAAATGCAACAATTAAAAAGATATTAGGAATATGTTTCACACTAAAAATGTATTTTTAACACTTTCTGATGTTGTTAAAATCATTATACATCATAGGTAAACCACACTACTGATACATGTGACTCACAAAAACTACCATAGCCGCAACAGAATGCAACGACAGGATTCTGATCATGATATAGTGCTACATTTGACGCGCATGGAAGCACAGTGAACAAGTATACAGTGCAGTGGTCTCCCCAAAAGAAGGGAAATTACCTGATGATGGCCCATGTGACCGAAACATGTCAAAAATTAGAACAAATATATGAGTAAAGACATTTTAGAAAAATGGACAATCACTTTTAATGTACAATGTGCTTTTAATGTCCTACTGACATGTAATGACTATAACATCATCAAAAAGTGATGAAATACATTTTTAGTGTGAAACATATTCCTAATATCTTTTTATTGATGGATACTTTGATAATAAAGGATGATGCCTCAATGTAATGGGATGCTAAAATATAATATAGTATCTAATATTGTTAGGATAGTGAAAACAAGGAGGCTGTAGTAATGAGCTGGAGAGGGTGAAAAGGAATGCATACTGTTCGAAAATCACCAAGATGATGGAAGGAAGTAGGTTGTGGAGGGTATACAATGGGGTACCCAAAAGAAACCGAACTAATTTTTTTGTGGGCAGAGCTTTTGTAGTACCGCGTTTTGCCGCTATGAGCACATAGAGCTATACGTAACATTCCTGAGTCGATAAGCCGACTACCGTTGCTTCAGAAGGTAAGGACTAGTTTCGGCAGAGTTTATAGTGACAACTGTTTTGTGTGATTGTCGTTTTTGCAATGGCTGATTTTCGTGAACAGCGTACGGCGGTGAAATTCTGCTTTTTGCTCGGGAAAAGTGGAACAGAAACTCTTGAAATGTTAAAAACGGCGTACAAGGACGATGCTATGGGGAAAACTCAAGTGTTTGAGTGGTTTTCCCATTTCAAAAATGGTGAAATGTCAATTGATGACAAACCTCGTTCTGGTCATCCTTCCACGGCCCAAACACATGAAAATGTTGAAAAAATTCATGAAATCATCAAGGAAGATCGATGATGGACAGTTTGCGGCGGAAGCGGCCAGATTTGTGGCAGTCGGGTGACTGTTTTTTCCATCATGACAATGTCCCTGCTCACACAGTCCTGTCTGTACGACAATTCTTGACCAAAAATGGTATGACCCCTGTTCATCACCCTCCATACTCACCCGACCTTGCCCCGTGCGACTTTTTTTTGTCTCCTCGAATGAAAAGAGACATGAAAGGAAAGCGTTTTGCTGATGTTGCTGAGGTGAAGGAAAAAACGACGGAGGCGCTGTCAAGCATCTCAAAAGATGAATTTAGACAATGTTTTGAAAAATGGAATAAAAGACTAGACAAGTGTATTAGTGTAAGTGGAGAGTACTTTGAAGGGGATTGAAGGTTTGTGCTTAAAATCTGAATAAATAAGTTTAAAAAAAAATAAGTTCGGTTTCTTTTGGTTACCCCCTCGTATGGATAGAAGTTGGATCAACCTGGTTCAGAATTGCATCCAATAGCAATACTACGTAGGCGAGTCAAATGAAAACCTTAAATATTTTTTGAGTATTATTTACTGTGCATAAGTGGTACAAAGCTGTATCGCTTTTCAACATAATCCCCCCACGCTCAATGCAAGTCCTCCAGTGCTTGTAAAGTGCATGAATTCCTTTAAAAAAAATCTTTTGGTAGTCTGCGCAACCACTCATGCACCATGTAGCATATCTCTTCATCAGAACAGAACATCTTTCCTCCCATTGCTTTTTTGAGTGGTCCAAACATATGGAAATCACTTGGGGCAAGGTCTGGTGAGTATGCTGGATGAGGAAGACACTCAAAATGCAGGTCACTGATTGTCGCAACTGTTGTACAGGCAGTATGGGGCCTTAAATTGTCATGTTGCAAAACGATACCTGTGGACAGCAATCCACGTCGCTTTCATTTGATTGCAGGCCGAAGATGATTTTTTAGGAGATCTGAGTATGATGCACTGGTGACAGTGGTCCCTCTCGGCGTGTAGTGCTCCAAGATGACGCCTTTTTCGTCCCAAAAGAGAGTCAGCATAACCTTCCCTGCTGATAGTTGTGTTCAAAACTTCTTCGGTTTTGGAGATGAGGAATGACGCCATTCCTTGCTTGCTCTCTTCGTTTCCAGTTGGTGGAAGTGAACCCAGGGTTCGTCCCCAGTAACGATTCTTGCAAGGAAGTCATCACCTTCTCGTTCAAAGCACCGCAGAAGTTCTTCACAAGCATCAATACGTAGGTCCTTCAATTCAGGAGTCAGCTGCCGAGGCACCCACCTTGCAGACACTTTGTGAAACTGGAGCACATCGTGCACAATGTGGTGTGCTGAACCATGACTAATGTTTAAACTTGCTGCAATTTCATTCAGTGTCACTCGGGGGTTTTCCCTCACTATGACTTCAACTGCTGCAGTGTTCTCTGGAGTCACAACTCGATGTGCCTGACCTGGACGAGGAGCATCTTCCACTGAAGTCACACCATTTGCAAACTTTCTACTCCATTCGTACACTTGCTGCTGTGACAAACATGCATCACCATACTGAAACTTCATTCTTCGATACACAAAAACCGAATAACAGAACACTGTTCTTCCCTGGTGCAAGTCTCAAGTGGGGCAGACATCTTATACTGGTGCTGTGACGGTGTTCGTGCATCTGCACTATGCTGCAACCTACAGGCCATTCTGCATGCTGTTTGTAGCATACTTACCAACTTACAAGATATTGGCACAAAATTTCGATTTTTTTATTACAAATTTATGGTTTTCATTTGACTCGCCCTCATACATGCCTTCATGGCACTGTGCTTATGCCAAGGGCCAAATTTACCTTTCTCCTCCATTTCCTAAATATATCCTGATTTTACGGTTCTGATGGAACCAGTTTTAACATTATACTAATTGTTCTCAAAATATCATACACATTAAAATAAGAACAAGGAACAATGCAGCTTTCTTTCCTCATACAGCAATTTTCCAAATCTATGTACAGTTCACACTCACCCTGTGGCCACTGCAGAAGCTGCTTCAGCACCTGCATATAGAGAGGGTTTGCAGTGGCATCAGCTCCTGCTAGCTTTATTACACCCTCCAGATAACTATCCTGTACCTTGTGAATACCATCACCTGTTGAGCGGTTGAATTCTAGCAATTTTTCTGAAATAAGATACAATGCAATCTGGTTAAGTGCAGGTAACTTCCAGAGAAACTTTGCAGCTGTACTCATTAGTTCTGGGAATACATACTCGTATATAGCCTGGACATAATTTTCCATGCACTACACTCATGAAATTCACTTTTTTCTTAACCATTTACATACTGTCGTACAGTAATTCTCAATCTTTCATATCTTGCATCCCTCCCAGCATTTTGTCAAAAAACAGTAGTCTCATCACATAGAGTATGAGTATGAGTATGAGGGGTGAGCCATAAAACTGGCCCTAGCACTGCGACCTTCAATGGTCTATTGTGCTTTCCCTTTGTCATCACACAGAAACAAAACTTCTCTTTTTAAAAGGAGTGTACTTTTGCCATTATGAACATTTTGGTATTACATTGATCATCAATGAAAGTTCTCACTTCTGAGACCTCGTATTGCACCCAGGCAACCACCAAATCCCATGATTGCAAAACAATGCTCTGGAACACCTGATGCAAGAGTTCTCACCATTTATGCTGACCATTACAACTCATTTTTCTTGCATCTTTTACAGAAACAATACATTTTATCTAACCTGCACCTTAAAAAGACACCAAACTGACCAAGGCAATAACATTATATTTTCCAAACTGTTATCATTAACAAGATTTTTTAAACACAAGCACAGCTCATGTTCAAACTCAAGAAATGTCACTAAAAGTAAGTAAAGTAGAGTAAAGTAAAGTGAAGGTATCCCTGTAACAGGCCATGGAGGCCCATAGGGTTGTGAGATATTGAGGTTCCCACATTTTCTAGACAATCGGCTCATAGATGACGGTAAGGTTGTCAACCTTACACGCCGGCTGCCCTTTACCCCCAAGGATATTCCTGGTACTCATTTCTGTTAGAGGCTGAGTCAACCCCAGGGCCATAGTGTGGCTGGAAGGATTAGGTAAATTGAAAAAAATCTAATGACCTCATTGGGATTCGATGCAGCGACCTTCTGGTTTATAGCATAGTGCAACTAACTACGCTACCACATGCCCCCTTCAAGAAATGTCACTATAAAGTTTTTTTGGGGGGGTTCTTTCTCTGCTTGAGAATTGCTTAAATTCTCTGATTTAAAAAATTTAATGACTTGACACCTTTTGCTGGCTTCTTACAAAACTATTTAAAGACTTAGTTTACTCAACCCTTGTAGAAATGCAGATTCATTTTCTTCTCACCTAAAATAACACTGAGATTAGCTTGGTCGAATCGTAGATATGTCTTCTGTGGAAAATAAGGCTTCAGAGGGCAATTATCCAAAGTAGCTGAGGACAGTGATGTTGAGCTGGTGCCACCACCTGTCAGGTCACAATAATATATGAAGAAAGATTTCCAGAATCACCAACATCCTTAAAGATTCCAACATCAAAACAGTATTTTTCATGAACACATTTTTCTATACAGAATGTCCAGAAAGTATTCTGTCAGGATAGTCAATGTCCTCACTGAGCTTTGGAATGATTCTTTTCCCACAGCTCATGGGTAATTGTGAACAAACACATACTGAAAAAAAAAATAGGACAAAGTTTCTTTTCAATAACCAGAGCAGCTAAAAATTGTTTATATTAGTTATTAAAGGACAACACTGTAAACAAATTTATGGAATATTATATTCAATAATCATTCACAAATTAAGATGCCGAATTCTTACTTACAAGCAGTGGCAGGGGAACTGTCTCACTTAAGAGGAGGCACAGGATATTACAGCCATGGAAGGCTGCACAAATTTTAACTTCCACCCTTCTTTGAGTATAAACACTGAAATACCTGACTGACAAATAATCTAGAGGCCAACAGTGGCCCTCATGTCCACATAATCATTTGTGCTTCTGCTCCACATAAGCATCATCAGTTTTACTCAATATTGTTCATACTTAATGAGAAGAAGGAAATCTGATATTAGAACAAGTTCTTATTCCATGTTGTCAGCCATACCCTCCCTTTCCTTTCACAGCCATAGTATTTCAGTGGCTGTTAATCTGTCAAACATTGTGAGGCCTTTTCACAGTCAGAAAGTGTTCAACAGAGACAGTGGCACAGATAAGACATTAATGTGCACCATTTTTATAACACAGGATTTCAGATCTTGGAAAGTAAAGACTGTAGTGGAAATAAACAAAGAACATGGCACTAAAATTTCAAGTTATTACATACTATGTACTTATACTAAACATGTAAAAATACAGTAATATTGAAATAAATTCATACAAACTGTTTTATTTTTATTTCTTCAAAAAAATTTGGCATGTGTCTTATTGAAGGGCATGGGGTATCATAAAAAGTAGAGTATATGTAAGTCTTTGTCACCCAACTCTTATGAAATCAATACCAGCTAAAATGGGAAGATATGCCTTAACATGGAGACACAGAAATGAAGACTGTACAGTGCTGCTATGGACTGAATTAAATTTTTCCATAAAATATACAGCCAAGCACCTGCAGGAGAATCTGGTACACCATTTCCATAAGATGGAACATATCGAGATGCACCAGTAAATGGATCTGCCACATTAGCAAGGTCAGGTCTACCAGAACTACCTGGAGGAATGTACCGATTACCACCTGAAACAACACAGTACAAATCAGTAAACATTTCAACTCTCAGAACTTTATATTTATTTACAGTTCATTTAACAAACAGTCATGTCAATATTTAGTTAAAAACAAACGTTTCAGAGCTGTCTTCTATCTTCACTATCATGGTTCAATGTGGTGAATGATTATACATCACTGATATACATGCCAGTCTGTCAAGTAAATACTGCATCCCACTGCTGTCCTATGCAGCAGAACAGTGGAGTCAGATTGTGTGGTCACCCATCTGACTCGAACCTATCACCATATCACTTAACCTAGTGTTCCTGCAGTCAAATATTTTGTCTCCTTCGTAGCAGGCTTTTCCCTGTTTTGTTTTCCTGGGATCTACCAGATCTATACATGTTGTAATGGCTTAAAAGTCTGGTGCAGAAATTCCACATTTTGTTAAGTGTGAACCCTAACACTCTGTTGATATTGTTAAGATGTAGATTTGTTCTTATTGTTTCTTTGATATGTTGGCCCATTCCACCTCATGTTTCGGCTAGTTCCTTGGTCCCTGAAAGTCTGACTATCCTCCTCTTACAGAGAACACCAATAGGATATAGCATCGATTTGACAGACTGGCATATATATATTAGTGATATATCATCATTCACCACACCAACCCTGATGATGGAGATCTCTGAAACACTGGTTTTTAACTCAACATTGATATGGCAGACAGCCGAAGAAATGGTGGAAGAGGAAGACAGTAGCTTGGCAATGTTTTGGGTGTAGCCTCATCTGCAATGTCACTTATCAAGGCAATTTCTGGCGATTCAGTCCATCCACTGTCATTTGATTCACTAGAATCAGGTTCTGCAATTAAACCATCTTCAGAAACTTCATTAAGCAACATTTACATTGCATGATCCCCACTCATTATGTTCTGCTTGCCACAATGCCTTACACTACTTCATGTGAGCAGATGTGCTGTCAAACTGTACTTATTGAAACAACAAAGGGGAAGGAAGTGGAATTAGAGCAACATGTGATATTCATGGTCAAGGAAATACTGATGTACACACCATCTATGTATACAGCGAACAACTATTATATATAATGACTGACTGAATGAGAAATGTTCACATCTGTTGTTATACGGGCCCCTACATGTGGGAACATTTATTCGACCACCACGCAGATGTGGAAGTGAAAGTGTTAAGAAGTGGTTATAAGCTAGAAAGTTTATTGCTGTTCTTGCCTGAGCACACAAACTTTCCATATGATTTTGCATCCTTCATTAACTCTTAACAGTCAGTAATTACAAATATATAGCCCATGCCAACAGAGAGCTAAACAACAGCAGAGACATTGTACAATTTTAATTTCTTTCTTTCCTTATATTTTGTTAAATATATACAACAATGAAAGAGATCTTTTTCATAAAAGTTACACATCTTGAGCTCAATTCTTTTAAATTGTCCAGTACTGCTATGAATGACAATTTTATCTGCATTTCATGTGGAAGTTATAGTCGACAGATATGGAACATGGGTCCAAACCTGAACTATTCAGCGTATAACTTCAAAACTAAATTTCAACCAAATTCATTAAGTTATTCGGTAAAGGACACATGCAGATGGATAAACAGACATCACATTATGAAGCCATGTCATGTGATTTGTGCAAGGATTGCATATATGTCATGAAAATATGAAATACAGCATTACCCAACAGACAATTAATATGTCATTCTACTAGAAAAATTGTTATCATACTGACCTGTGAATGGGTCGCAGAATTCAGGCGATGAATCTTTAGTACCAAGAGGAACATTCTGTTTGCTATTATTCACAATAAAATTTGCTACTTGGTCTAAGAACAGCTGACTCAAATTGTTATCATGTATGAACGTTTGTGCAGCAAACCATGGATCTTCATCACAATTATATGGAAGTTTCAGTGGCGGCTTCCCATCCTCAATGTCTACACTAAAGACGTAGTCATACTCCTGCAACATACCCATTCACTCTTAAAAAGGGCCACCTTTCTTAGTTTATAAAACATTTTGGTATTCTATTAGCATATGCCTCAAATAAGAGTAACACTTCAAACAAACAGGGGAGGCAGGATAGCACAGTCAGTACAGTGACTGGCTACAGGCTGGATGGCCAAATAGTTGAAGTTCGAGTCCTGGTAGGGCCATGAATTTTCTCTTCTCCATGTCATTCAGACCAGTTCTGGGGCCTACTTGGCCTAGTATCAAATGGGTACTGGGGGCTCCTTCCACAGGAGCAAAGCAGCCATGGCATGAAGCTGAACACTCACCTCCAACTAATGCTGAGGTCAAGGAAAAGTGAATCTATACATCCACTCCCACATATGCCTTCATGGCATGTGCCTACTTAGTTAAGCACAGGAACAACTTTATGATTAGAATAATGGTACAAAATATGAATACCTGACTGTGTGTAAAGTTTTATAAACTGTGACAGTTCAGCCAATAAAGCAAGCTAATCAGGATGATCAGGCAAATTGTAATGATGAGGTATCACACTGAAGATTAATTAGCTTGTAGACTTTGTCCATTCTTCTAGAACTCTTAAGAACACAATGTCTGAGGAGGCACATACTCAGCTGGGTCTGTTACAAAGAGCTAGTCTCAAACACTTTACCAAAGTCCACCTTTCACTGGAGGTTAGAAATATACCCAGTTCCTGAAACACTGTGTGCCTTATGAATACTCAGATAATGGACAAAATTCAGTTAACTCCCTAATCCCAATGATGACCAGGGTTCCAATCCTAGCTGGGGCTTCTGCATTTTATTATTCACCATCATACTCAGAAATGGCTATGTCGCCCAGCCAACATCCAACACAGTGTACCTGGGGCTTTCTCTCCTGGGACAAAGCAAAGAGAAAATGAAGATGATATAACATCAAGGTTTATTACGAAGGTCTGTTATGGTGGGGCATTACTTGTCTATATCCTACTAACATTTACAACACAGTAATTATACACAGAACTGTATAACACATGTGGACACACACAGCAAAATGTTTGTGAACTTCAGGTTGTGGTCCTCTGGGTCATGACAGCAATGCAGTCTCATAGCTGTACAACAGCATTTTCAAGGAACATACTCCCTCGACCTTCATTAAGCCTTAAGATAGAGGCAGCGAGTTCCTCAAAACGTTGCTATACACCTACAAGACTATGTCATTTCAGAAAACAGAATGCCACAATCTGAACAATCAGTGTAAACCTCAAAATTTTTGTTCACAAAACTTTAAAAATTGTTCATGACAAGGATCATGATGATTTAATATTCAATGAGCTAATTAAGTAACAACATATTACAGCTTCCTCAAATTGTTGGTGTTTGAGAGAAAAATGACTTCATTCAGTTATGGAACCTGAATGTTCATCACCATTTCATGAATGTATATAATTTTACATTAATTTCACTGAACAACTAAAGATTGCAACACAATGCATATGTCGTAAATCTGACAAAACATAAGTTTACATGCATAATAGCAGAACAAAGTTGAAGGGCATTTACGTACGTACATACATACATACTGTCGCGTACTGGGCATATATCGCGACAAATAACTTCACGCCATATTTGGTATAGCGAATTTTATTTCACATTCGCACTTACAATCACCCAAATTACAGATTTACGATTACTGCTATCTGCAGTATCACAAATAGTACACTCCAAATGCCAGAATACAACTGACTAGTTGCTGGCTAACTCGGAGGTAGCTCGAGGACTCTGTGAACAGCCTTCACTGCGCCTCATGTAGCCTCGATCGGACAATACAGAAAACGGCCACGTAATAAGCACCCTTGTTGCCTGGCGCTGTGTTGCTAGTAACGCTAGCGGTAGTAACCGCTGTTACCACCGTCGTCTCTCGCAATCCTGTTTACCCGTGCTGCCTAGCAACCCGCGGTACACTTGGTGACGTCATCGCTGTTGACTCGCGTTGCCTAGCGACCAGGATGCTAGGACTCGGCTAACTTCGGCTCCGCTCGGCGCGTCACAGCTGGCAGGGGGGGGGGGGCGTCATCCATAGCTCAACATGTCACACTACATACATACATACTGTTTGGCTTGACATCACAGTTTATGTTTAAACCCTACTTCATCATTGTATAACAATAATTAAAAAAAAAAAACCGAACTGACATTTCTGAAAAACATTCATGAAGGCTGCTGAGATTAAGTATTTTGCTTTGAAAGGTTTAAATCTTTTTCTGCTGTACTGACTACCTTTCCATTATAGAGCTGTTTTCCCGATGTTGCTTGTGTTCCTCCACTGGCTCCCACCACATCTCCAATCTTAACCCACTCTTTGTCTGCTGCAGACCAACTGTAGCAAAATACATCTGTGCCATCACGCACAAGCTTCCTTTGGCCATCACTGTAACCAGGCTCACACAATGCCCCCATTCCCGGCAACCTGCAATATTGATCTGCAATTTAGTTTGTCTACCATACACATTACTTTATAACAAAATATCATGAGTTTGATTTGTTTCATTCTGGTCCGTCACAATAACAATTACAAATTATAAATCACTCCGTCCAATGTGACCATAAGTTTTTTACTACATAAAAACTTAACACCCTTACATGTTTCGGTCTCTGTGGACCATCTTCAGAGGGCAAACATCACTACAAATAGGAAACCACTATCACATAATTTGTTTACACGCAAAGTACGTACACTTATATGTTACAACACACAGTACACAGAATAGAACATTTCATAAACACAGCAGTTTCCTGGGAATGTAAGTTTTAAAAAATTGTATAAAATTCCTTGATGCTAATTAAAAGTTTTTAGATTGTCCATGATCAAAATTCGTAAACCATGCAGGCTCGTGTTCGTCCTCCCATTGTCTCTCTTATATGGGGCAGGTGGCAAAAGTCCACCTGTAAGGTGGTCACGTAAGACTGTCATTAAAAAAATTGTTAAAAAAATCACATGGATCAGGCAAAGGGCTCAAGCATTAATAATTTTGATTTTTGTTCAGGTTTTGACCAGTTGAAATTCTGAACTAGATGCAGACTACTGTGATCAAGGTTCTTCATAGATTTTCTCAGCCACTCCATACAAAATCAAACTGGGCCATATCCACTTCCTTCTACATCCTTTCCAATTTGTTAATCACTAATCATCCTAGCAGTCAACATTATTAGTCTAAGCTGCTGAAACATCACTGAAGAGCTGACAAATAAAATAAATAATAAACATTTAGTTGAAGACTTCACATACATTTCTCATCTCACTTAACAAAACTGCATGCCCAGCCCAACTTCGCTTAGAAGATTTTACTGTCATACAGTAAGTGACCTGTGTAAATCACGAAGTTCTATCTTAAATTCCTCACCGACTTCACTCCTCTTAGGGAAATATCATTCTTCAACAATTTTTCCAAACGCTTGTAATTAATGTACTTCCCTCCAGAAGCCTACACTCAACAGTTAAAAAACAGCTGATTAAAATTATTTTGTTTCTTCGGATCTTCAGCATTTTGGAAAGCAGACAGGGTGACAACCATTTCTGGCCAGCATAACACCAACAAAATTCCAAAATGTATTCTTCTCCAAAATATCATTAACCTCTTTTCAATATATGTTGACTAGTCCAAAAGTAACCTCCGTTTATTTTAGGCAACTAATGTAGGAGCAGGAGACATAGTGCATGCGAGGTCGCATTCACATGACTCAATGCCTTGTAAACCATCACAAAACTGGTCACCTAGTGTTTGTTCTTGTCTCTACAGTTATGATGTGTCCTGCGATTGATAATCCTGCCAGCTGCGAAATTTGAGCTGTCAAACCAATGCCATGGAAATCTATCGTGAATTATGCGTGGTAGTTTATGGCCAAAATGTAATGGGTGAAGGAACTGTACGAGGTGCTACTGGAAAGTTCCTGAACTACGTCAAAAAAGAAATGCTGACCTAACTAACTCAATTTTGCCTGCCATCTCCTTCAAAATAGTCTTCTTGCGAATGTACAGTGATCCCATAATTTTTTTCCATGCTTCAGAAGTACAGTGGAAGGCATTTTTCTTAATGCTGTCAAGTACCACTTGCAATTCCATTTGGATGTCAAGACAATGTTTCAAACCGTCAGCCCTTCATTTTTTTAAACAAAGCGAAATCACAGGGGGCTAAGTCCAGCAAGTAGGGGAGATGGAGAACAATAAGCATGTTGTACAGAAGTATAAGGTTTATTTTGGACTCTATCCATTGTCTGGTATATATAAGAAAAGTCCAGTGATTGAGACTAGCTCTTTCTAACGGCCCCAACTGAGCAGGTCTATCTTTCCCCATCCACCTGAGGATGGAGACAAATCCAGTCTCCAAAACGTTGTGATTCTTTTGTCTTATATACAAGGTGTGTCCAAAAAGTCATTTTCTTTCCCACGCTCCTATTGGTCGGAGCCGCTGGAACCGGTTGGGTTAGGGGGGAGAGACCTTTAGCTTCATAGTGCACCCAAGGTCAGTCTGCTCGAGCATCGGAGGCGTCAGTATCGCTGATTTAGTGCACCTGTGTTTTGTGACCACGTCACGGCGCGCGATGGCGGATACTTTCGAACAATGTTGGAAGGTCAAGCTAAACAAAAAGGCTGCCAAAGGCTGCCAAAACTCACGACCTGCTTAAGCAAGCCTATGGGGAGTCTGCTCTATCATATGTGCAAGTTACAAGGTGGGTGAAGAAGTTTAAGGAGGGCCAGGAAGGAGTGGAAGATGACCCCTGCTCTGGATGGCCATCAACAAGCCAAACCGATGAAAATGTCACTCGTGTGTGTGATTTGTTGAATACTGACCATCAACACTCCCTACTATGTGGATGTTCTAGAAAGATTAAGGAAAAGGGTCATCGCGGGCGAAAAGACATCACCGCTAACTGGCGGCTGCATCATGACAATGCACCCAGCCACACGTCTCTGCTCATCCGTGAGTTCCTGGCAAAGCACCACGTGGCAACGCTGCCGCAGCCACCCTACAGCCCCAACCTAGCTACAGCCGACTTCTTTTTGTTCCCGAGGATCAAGACTGCACTCAAAGACGCCGTTTTGAAAGTATTCAGGCTATCCAAGCGGCCATGACAACAGCTTTAAATGAGGTTCCCGTCGAGGCCTTTGAGGGGGTGTACTGGGCATGGGAGAGTCAGTGGAAAAAATGTGTAGATGCTCATGGACAGTACTTTGAAGAATATTAACACTTTGTACCGATATCATCAATAAATTTAAAATATATATATATTTCATGACACACCTTGTATACCAGACGATGGACAGAGTCCAAATAAACCTTATAGTTCTGTACAGCATACATCATCGTCAGAATCCTTTAAAGTCTATTAATAACCATGTTGTTGTCAGTCACAAACTCTGTGGTTTTCAGGGACATGTGGGCAGGCGAATTGTCATTATGAAGGAGCAATGTGGCGCATGTTGAAATGTTGTGTTAAGATCTCCTGGCAAACTCCATAACTGATCCCAATGGTCTGTGAGCTCAAGGATTGCTTGGCAAAGGTCTTCGTTGATGAGTTCTCAAATTTTGTCAACATTTTCTGTCATTTTGCTGATGCTTGGTCACCCTGAACGTGTCATCTTCAACTGACATTTGACAGGCCTTGAAACGTGAATGTCATTCAAAAACTGGTGGCCAGTGTAAAGAATGTTCTCCAAAAGCCTCACAAAGCATTTCAAGGGTTTCGGTAGCGAATTTACTCAGCTTCACGCAAAACTTGATGCAGACACACTGCTTGATTTTGACATCCATTGCAGACAAAACAAAACATGAAAGTCAAAAAAGCACTTGTGTAAAACCTATGTGTGTTCACAGCGCGGTGTCCCATGGCAGACTGACGCAACAGGCTTTTGGAAGTGTGACCTTGGTCTTCCCTCTTATCTTCTTTCACCAAAGCAATTACAACAATAGCAGTCTGGGAACTTTCTGATACACCTCGTAGAATGTTCAAAGATGGGCGAAAGAATTTTCACAATGAAGAGAAAAGTGGTTGGCCATCTGTTATGGGTGATGATTTTGTTCAAAGTGTTAACCAAAAAATGTGTGAAAGACAACACGTCACAATTTCAGAGCTTTCATGCAGATTTCCACAAATTTCACTCACTTTTCCATATGAGATTATCAGTTAGGCTAGGCTATCACAAGTTTTATGCAAGATGGGTTCCCAAAATGCTCATAGGTGCACACAAAATGCAGAGAAAGGCTTCAGCTTTGACTTTTATAAGAGATATACCACAAAGATGGCAAAGAACATCTCAATCACATCGTACGGGTAACAGGATTCATTTGTGAACGCTGAAACCAGAGAGGAGTCAAAGCAGTGGATGCACAGACATTCAGCAAACAGGCTGAAAAGGTTTAAACAAACATTGTCTGTCTGACAGAAAGCTGATAGCAACTGTTTTCTGGGATAGGAAAGGAGCGCTGATAGTGGAATTCGTGCAACAAGTGACCACAGTAACATCAGAAGTGTACTGCAAAACACTAAAAAAATTGTGTAGGGCCATTCAGAACAAAAGGCTGACATCTGGTGTAGCGCTCCTCAATGACAATGTGCGTCTGCATACAGCTGCTTCCACTAAAGCACTGCTGGAGAGTTTCAACTGAAAGTTGTTTGACCACACTCCTTATAGCCCTAATCTCGCTCTGAGTGACTACCACTGTTCACCAAGCTGAAGAACTGGTTGGGGTCACTGTGCTTCAACAATAATGAGCGGTTGATGGAAGGTGTCAAAACTACACATTCCCCAATAAGACATATGCCTCAATTCTGGTGGTAACTACTTTGAGAAGTAGCTCAAGTATGTACATATTTTTCGTATCTAATAAATTTCTTTTTCTCTCTTGCTTGTTTTGTTAACAGTTCACCAAGAGTTACTCTCTGCATAGCCATTGTATTAATATTCAGTCACAGATACTTATATTCTGAAATATACTAAAACCAGTTACATAGCAAAATCCCGATTTATTGTTCCTTCATTTAGTGAGATCCTGCATATGATGAAAGTTCTCTGGTCCCAGCTGAAACCCAATACGAACAATGCAATACTATCCTGTATTTAGCAAATTCTGATTTTGTGAATAACTCTCACTTAGCATAAGAGATTTTTTATCTTGCAAGACTCATACATCAGTTTAGTGCAATTATGATTCAAGGAACAATCAATATTCATATTTTATCTCTGCCAGAAATTGTTTCCACACACCCAGTGACTTGTTTCACATGCCATTAACTATTTTAGGATATTTTTTATACTGCTCATTATGTTACTGCATTATTTGTGTAGAAACAGTTTCTTCAACTACCTATGTAAATAAATTATTTTATCATAATTATATAATTATTACTTTGAACATAGGATGCATATTTTTCGCTTTTATCCTGTTGAAAAATTGGGTTGCATCTTAAATTCAAGGAATTATTCACTAGTTTGCAAACTGTCCACAGGGTAGCCTGGAAAGAACCTAACATAAACACATTCAGAATGAGTCATCAAGACATGTCTTCCCCCTTACCATTTAATGTGAATCAACAACCAACTTTCAGTTCAGTCACTGCCTGACATTTTTACTGTTCATGTGTATTCAGTTTGTTCCAGTTCTTACCCATAGAAAAGTATTTTACATGTGACGCCGCATTCAGAAGGAAAGTTATTCTATGCACTGAAAAGATAGGTAATCGTGCAGCTGGTAGACAGTGTACAGTATGTCAGGCTTGTGTACATCATTGGCAAAGTATAACAACAAAACTGTTTTCATGTCCGACAAACAGAAAGCCCTTCTGTGGACCAAGGAAAGGGAGAAATCCTGAAACTGATGATCTGTTTTAGAGTATTTCAAAGATTTATGAAACAGATTAGCTGTAACTAGGGAAGTTTTAATGTCAAAAACAAATTAATTTACTAGAAACAGTAATATATACCTTTCAAGGCTAGTCTTGTACAGTACTGCACAGTACTTCCCTTCTAGCCAAATCATAGGCTTTCTTAAAGCTCATAAATAGGTAAAGTACTCACCCATTTAGATGAAGATATGTCTGGATAATGACAATAAATATATATCATGCACATTCAGTATACCTCAGATGTTTGACAATGTCCAACATAATACATGCTTAACAGAAATTTCTCTATTAAAGAATACAATCCCCAAAACATGGGAACATGTGAAAAGGAAAAGTCTGGATTGCACTTATTTGTAGCAAACACCTCAACTATTACAAAACTATCCTAGAGCTAGAAAGACATTAGGCATCCAGCGACAATATGAAACAAGTCAAAAGTTCTGAAATTTTATTTCACAAGTATTTGAAAATATCATAAATTCTGTTGCTGTCAGTGGCATGTTATGGCAATTCAAATTCAAAATTGTATGGTCATACAAAATGATGTAAAGTCTGTTATGCATCACTACCATAGTACGTACTCACTAATCTTGACTCCTCCAAGCTCCTGTTTTGCTGCCATGCTTGTGTGTGCCACTTCTGAAGCAAACTGCTCCTGCAGAATCGGTTCTGCTTGGCGACTTGGATCTGCGCTGAAGACTCGAGCAATCCCATCACTAGTCATAAATTATACATTTAAATTCTTGGATATCATGTTATTTGTAGCAGCATGATGCCTGCTCTAGAGAACCTACTAATTTAAAGACCAAAATTTTGGGATCTGTAGGCAAAACTGCTATAGCTTATAGACTTAATTATATAAACAAATAAGTTCATCACAGAATATCAATTCTATTTAGCATCAAATAAAAATCAAGTTTATTTTATTAAGGATGACTAGATTTCCCAGCCCCAAATTCGCGACACCTTGTAACTATTGAGGAATGTAAAAAAATGCAAATGAAAATATTTAATTTATATAGACATATTAAAAATGAAATCAAAGCCTATTACATATAGTAAAGGTAAAGTTGTCCCTGTGCTTAACTAATTAACTTTTATCGGACGAGCCATTTAATTTCCGGTAGGGGCAGCTGGACGGAGTTTATTTAAATGCCCGCCCTTCTAGAGCAATGAAATTGTAAGCATGTTTCTAAAAATGGTGTGATTTCTACATTTTTTACGATAAATGAACGAAATGAACACTCCGTTAATGTAGAAAGAATATAGAATCAGATATTCTAATTTACAGATTTTAATATCTGTAAAAAATTTTTACACTGATTCCCAAAAAAAAAAATCCCAAAATTCATACATTTTCTGCACCATGTGTTCTAGCAGTGTAATACATTTTCTGCACCATGCGTTTTAGTAGTATAAGTCCTTGTGGCGACTTCACATTCAATGATGTCTCTTGTTGACGCTTATTTATCGTATGGGACATTTCGGTATGCACGACTGTATGCGTCTGATATCACTCGCTGTGTAATGTTTTAGAAAGATACGGGAGTTAATTCTCGGAATATGGTGTTGCCAGATCGGTCATTCGTTCATTCATTGCAGTCAAACCATTGTGTTTGTAACGATTTTGAAACATCGCAATATAAGTTTAGCCACCCATGACATCATGAAGTAGATATTGGGTTCAGCCAAGTCGTGAATGAGATTTTTGTATGTGTGGGCTCGAGGTTAAGATTTATAGCTTCTTATCGTGGTCTAAGCACAGAGATTCACTGCTAGAGAGCCGTATACACGACGACGTCGTATGGAAGATGCTGAAATTGAGAAACAGCTGTTCAATGACACAGATTCGGACTGCTACTGAACCGATTCTGAATGTGGCGAGGAAAGTTGGAGTTCTGATGCTGAAATTGAGAAACAGCTGTTCAAAGACACAGATTCGGACTGCTATTGAACCGATTCTGAGAGGGGCGAGCAAAGTTGGAGTTCTGATTCCGCGGACGAAGGGTCATCACCTTCGTCGGCAACTTGGGGACCGCCAGACCAGTGTGGCTGGAGAGGTGTGAATAATTATTCCGGTGTAGCTGCGGGGATAAATATCACTGCAGCTCGACATCACTGGCCTGCTTCCTCTAAATCGCAACTGAGGTGTCGTGTGTGCTTTTCGCGTGGGAAGCGGTCTAGCGTTCGTACGAAGTGCGTGAGCTGCGACGTCGGACTCTGCATTTCGGAATGTTTTCGGCAGTACCATACGAAGGCCACATTACCATAGATGACGCAGGAGGGAAGGCTGTTTCCTCATGAAGATGGTGAACATATATCACGTAAGTAGAGCAAAAATTTAATTTTAAATTTAATTTTAAAAAAATCTTTACACGCGTGCAATGCGCGAAATCATATGAGGTCGTTCGGCCATATGACGTCGGTAGATTACATTAGATCACGCAGGAGGGAAGGCTGTCACCTTATAAAGGTTGTGACCAAAAATTATGTAAATAGAACAACAATTTATATTTTAAATTTAATTTTAAAAAAATCTTTACACGCGTGGAATGCGCGACATCATATGATGTCGTTCTTCAATTTGTCCTTACTTTTAACGTCATATGACGTCGCTAGATTACATTAGATCATGCAGGAAGGAAGGCTGTCTCCTTATAAAGGTGGTGACCAAAAATCATGTAAATAGAACAACAATTTATATTTTTAATATAATTTTAAAAAAAAACTTACACGCGTGGAATCCGCGACATCATATGATGACGTTCAGCCAGCTGCCCTAACTTTTAACGACATCATATGATGACGTTCGTCTGATAAAGGTTAAGCACTATGCCATGAAGGTGTAAAAAGTAGAAACCACGTCCACTATGGTTGATGGAAACAGTCAACTCACGTGCATTGCACCTCACTTGGGAGTCCGAGACACTGGTCTTTGCTATGAATGTAAATTCCTTTTGCAGCTATTCAATAAAGATGTACTTACACTTCTTTGAAACAATTTCTGTTTTTGGTAGAAGCAAATTTATTAACAGAAAATGGCCAACGAAAAGCAACCTGTGGTAATCCACCAACCTACATGGTCAACATAACCTCAAAACCCAATAACAGTGCATAACCATTCATAAGAAAGGCATGACACTGTCATGTGTGGTGAGCATTGTGCACAACAACACTGCAACAGTGGTGCTGTCAAAGAAACTGAATATGACCAACTTAAATTCCCAACCTTCAAAAATTCCTTTATGTCAAGAAAAATTCTCTAAGCTGGGATAAACTGTGGCAGCTTGGCCGAATTCTAGACAAACTTAACACCGCTCTTTTCCAACCCGCCTTTGCTTGTATCAGCGCAGTCGGAATGGTGCTATCCCTGCTACACCTGTTTCTACCTTAGGACAGTGTATGATGGCTACTGGAAGTTGTCCTCACAGATCAAACTAAGGAAGATCGGTATAGGTACGGGAAACTAGCTGGGTCGGTTTGCATGTGTCTCAGGGTAGCGATGCCGAAGAAAGCGTTTTTCTGAGAGTTGAGCCAATTGACGTTTATTCACCTGCTAATTCACCACACTGTTAAATTAATGTATTCTTAGCTTTAAGTTACAGCGTTACACTATCGGCAAGCTATGTCTCGGAGCGTGCAAGGGTCACGTCCGTTCAGTTCGGAATATTGTGAAAGTCTCTCCTTTTGTGGAATGGCTTGCACCCCCACGCCGGGAATTCGAAAGATGGTGTTGACATATACATTTCCATCCCATCTTCCGTAGGAAGCTTGAACGAGGCAACCCAATCATACTGGCCCTCATTCACAGGCAATTGTAACAAGCTCTGACCTGTCCTTTTAGGCGCGTCCGGTTCCCTGTACCCGAGCTAAATTTATGACTGATCGTAAATGTCATAACTCCGGACTTCTTGTTTCTGCCAGAATCTAGAAATTTTCAACATAAACACCGTATTGCACGTCCCAGACGATGAAATACGATATTATAGATCACGATACATTTCCAGTAATATCGAAACATAAGACTTTTGAAATTTAAATTACCGAGAATTAATTAGAAATAAATTTCATGGTCATCTATAATCATCAAAATAAATAAGGGCTCAGAATGATCAGCGTCAAACTGATGTCCCTAATTGCCTCTGACACATTCCCAGAATGTATCAGAAAAACCAGGATGTCTCGTCACCTTAATTTTATAGCATGCAATTTTCTTATAATGAACCTACAGCATTGAGATCCTTACCTGCTCCCAGTAACAAAATCGCCATTTTGCAAACACGCAACTGACCAGACACTCTGAGCTGGTAGAGTTACAGTTTGCCGACATTCACCATTCTGCCATATTTTAACTGTGCGGTCTTCGGATGATGTCACAAAACTGTCAACCCCTGCTCCCGGGAAAACACTTATGCTGAAAGTAAATAACAATATAATCAGCAAATAATCCAAAGGGTCACTGATTATGGCACAACCACCTGTTGAGGTATTTCACATGAATGTTCACATGGCCACTAAGTTGTTTTACATTCTACAAAAGACTACCACTACAAAGATTACCACACCAGAACTTTCATTTTTTTTTCAAAAATCTGCAACTATACACCAGTTCAGGATAAGAGATCTTTGGTGAATTCTACATACTAACCTATAGATATAGTTTGAATGACCATAGAAAACTGAAAGGCATGTTCCAACTGTGGCATTCCAGTGGCATACAGTAGCATCATTGGCACACGACAGGAACTCATTGCTTGAAGTTGCCGCTAATCCACGCACACAGTCAGTGTGTCCTGCAAAAAACCATCATCGCCCGGTACACCAGACTGATCATCGTTATGGCTGACTGATTGCTGGTTTTACAGCTGACTCAAATGTGTCTGGCTTATTCACAGCTTATAACAAATAATTTAAATTCCAACAGGCCCCAGTTCTCATAACCTATTTGCCTGATATCTTCCCATCTCACTCTTGATCTTCCAAGCAACCGTGTACCATATTTCCCTTATTTCAATGCTGTGCAAAATAAACTTCCATATAGAACAATTCTAAGTGGCTGAACCATAAAAACTAATCACTGCTGCAAAATTTAACACCACATGCAACATGAGATTATCGAGTTGGGTTCTTTCATCATGATGTGTCAATCGCTAAGATTATCTAGCAGCAGATAAACTATAACATAACAATCAAGAATGATAAACTCAGAGGGATGTAAGGAGTAAGAAAAAAGTTTTGAAATTCTGGTTCCTAGACAAATAATTTGGTTGAGGGAAAAAGGTGGAACAACATTTCCTGACACCTTGTTGTGGCTCTCGCCTCTTTTTGGTGCACAAGATTTATTCCTGCTGTCATTCTGTCTGCCCTAAATAGAATGATGCCAGGCACAAGAAAACAGAAAAACAGTGAATTAATGAGAGACTAATTGTTATGATTTGCTAATTATGATGATTTTAATTTCTTTGGATGTGGTTCATCATTTATTCTGTGCAACAATTGAACAACTGAGACTGACAAACCTCTGAAAGCTGATTTCCAAACACTGAATAGGAAGTTAGTCACTAGCAAAATCTTTCAGTTTCCACTGGTGACTAAGTGACCACAAGGATGTGGTCATGGACAATCTGTAGGAAACATTCTGGCATTTGCCTGTAGCAACTAACGAAAGCCACAAGATACCTCAGCCAGACTGCCAGTCCCTAACTGAAATTTGAACTGGAATGACTCTGAAATACACGTCACATGCATTATTACTGAAAAAAACCTACTTGACCAACCACATTATTAAAAGGTCTCTGAAATAATATGTGTACATATCACAAAAGTGTTGGCTGTTCACTTTTGCATTCCTCATAAATATAAACACTTCAAAAATCATACCCGTCAATGTACGTTGGAACTGCCCTTCTTTATCCCATACTCTAATGGTTTTATCTGCTGAACCTGTTACTATGTCTCCTGATGGCAGCTGAATGGCAGACCAAACTGCTCCCTGGTGTCCAGACAATGTAAGTGAAGGCTCAGTACTGCCATCTAACTTCCACATGCAAGCTGTTGCATCCCATGATGCACTCATGACTGTTCTGTCATTTAAACCAGCAGAGAGACTGCAGACTGAAACAGGGAAACACATAATTCTCTGAGAGGTAAATGTACAACACGATACAAAACATATCTCTGATTGTAAGAGCCCATTTTCCCCATAGCCTCTTATATTAACACTCTCATGAGTATGCTTGCACATATCTGTGTAAATGAAAGTGGCATATATATAGTGTGCATGTACAGAATTCTTTTTAACTTTGGTGACCAGTTCATGACCCTGCATTTCATGGCGACCAGTGCGCCACTTGCTGTGAGGAGCCGATGAATCAGCATGCCTGATGTCCAGTAATGTTTGGAATGAAGGGAAGTAATTAACTTGTGGGCTGCTTGATGTTATTATGTTTCATGGTGAGAAGTGCAGTTCACGTGTGGCAGTCTATGATCTGTCAGCAGCAGGCAGCAGTTACAAGCTACATTAGCCATTTGATCTCAGTTACAGTTAGTGTGCAGTGTGGTACATCGTGGAGTGGTATACGTTAGAGCAACATGTATTTTTGTATGACACCTGTGTGAAATACAGTTGGAAAATGTCAGCAAAAATTTCAACGCAAATTTCATGACGAAAGAGTTCCCAGCAGAAAAACAATTCACAATTTGGTGAATATACTTAGAACAACAGGACTCTTAATAGAAAAGTAACAAAAACATAAGCGCTGAGTGCTTACTGAGAAGTTGTATGACACAGGGGCCAGACATGAAAATACACCTAGAGAATCATTGAAACCTCTAGCTCAAGAGACTGGAGAGTCAAAATCTAATGCAAGAACACCAACACAATTGCTGAAGCTTAGATCCTGCAAGACAACAGTAATCCAAGCTTTGCAGCCACACAATATAGCTAGCAGCGCTCATTTTTGCAGTTGGTTTTTACAGTATCAACACAGGTGAGAATGATCCACAACTGACATTCTTTTCTCTTTAAGCGTGGTTTCACTTGCAGGAATATGGTTGTTTGAAGGACAAAGTTTACAACAGTAACCCTCAAACAGAAAAAAAAAACTAAAGAAAATATTCGTAGGGAAATAGCAAATATTCCTGCAGAACAGCTTCAAAGGATAAATCAGAACTTCTTCAGCCAGTGCAACGAATGTCTACATGTACAGGGATAACATTTTCAACACCTCCTGTGATCTGTGAACAAAGGTGAGAACTTCCCTTCATTCCGAACATTACTGGCCATCAGGCATGATGATTCAATAGCAAAATTCATATGTGCCTCACAGCAAGTGGCGCACTGGCTGCCCTGAAGCACAGAGCTATGGAACTGGTCAATGCAGTAAAAATCCTCCTTGTAAATTCTCTTATTATGAAAACGTTCTTGCATTTTCTACACATAAGAAATCTACCATAACCTGCCACCTTCAGTTATCAGTAAAACTAATTTGAGGCTGTATACTGATTGGATTGCCCAGCTATAAAATAAATAAAGTAAGTATGTCCCTAATGCCAGATTAATTACTGTAGAAGTAAATTAGAAATCTTATATGAAATTCTTAGGTAAAGGTGAATTTATCCCTTAGCTTACTTAACTAAGCACCATGTCATAAAGATGTATGGGGGAGTAGAGGTATAGCTCCTTAGTCCTTAACCTCAGCACTAGATGGAGGTGAACGATCAGCTTCAGGCTCTTGGCATTTCACCCCTTGGGAAAAAGCCCCTGGTACCCACTGTATATGAGGCTGGGTGAGCCCAAGAGATCATCTGGATGTTATGGAAAAGAATGGAACTTCTGCCAATTTGTAATTAACTGTGTAAAGGAAAATGTCCGTGATGAATATGTGTCACATTAAAAAAATATTACATACTTTGCCCAAGGAGCATATTTATGGGTTTCACATGATTCTCAAAATAAACAGCAATTATTTCAGTAAACAGCATTAACAGATTGGTCTTTCTAATGCAGATACAGTATGTTTTTTGTTAAACAAAGCTGACTTTTAAATATTATTTAGATGTTTAGATGATTATTAAGCTGGGCCACTCGTAAACTATATCTTTGCCATAAATTAAACAAAGCTATTTAATTAAATCCATATGAGACTCAGTAGGTTTACCAGTACTAAGAAATGTTTATTTTACTAAATTTGAATCTATACTGAAATTTGGTATTATTTTTGGAGGGGAGTAAATAACAGTAATAAAAAAGTAAAAAGTAAAGTAAAGTTATCCCTGTACCAGGCCATGAAGATCCATAGGGTTGTGAGATGTTGAGGCTCCCACATTATCTAGACAATCAGCTCAAAGATGGTGGTAAGGTTGTCAGCCTTACACACCGGCCATGCTTTACTCTTATATATATCTTATATATAAGATCTTATGCTTTTTTAAAAACAAACAAGATCTACACAACTCATTATTCTGACATTCACAAGTATAACACTAAAGGAAAACAGAATTTGTATGTAAAAATATGCAACATTGTTCGTTGCAAAATAAGTGTAATTAACATGGGAATTAAAATACATAACAGCTTGCCCCCTGAATTAAAAAGAATAGAAAATTTTAAGGTTTTTAAAAGTAAATTAGAAAGTTAATTACAAAACTGTTTTTCTTCTCTGCAGGAGTTTTTCAGTAACAATGACAGTAGTTTGGTGGCTCAGGTTGGTTCTGATGTGGTATGGATGTATATAGATAGTGTAAGTGTATGTGTTGCTCTGTACTGGACTGTTGGGGGATGTCATCCTCGGTTGCTAGCTTCATCCAGGGGACGATGATCCTAAGATGACTGTATTGTTCTTAGTCTTGTGTATTATTTTGTACATTTTTAAGAGTTGTTGATTTATAGTGTTTTAGATGGTTTAAACTGATTGTCAAATTTTAGTTTATGGATGCAAATAAATTATGAATTATGTGCTTCAGTCTTTAAAACATGGAAATGTGAAATAACCTCACCCACTTAGGTCCATCAAATATGAAGAAAGCTTATGGATTTAACAGTTAAACTCACTACATAACATCAGAAGACAGGACAGTTCAATCAGCACAGTGACAAGGCTGCAGGTTGTTTGACCAGGTTCCAATTTTCAGCAGGTGGACAGATTTTTTCTCCTCCAGCATGTTCAGATTGGCTCAAGGGCCCACCCAACCCCTCATACAATATGTACAGACAGATATTCCCTCAGGAGTAAAGCTGTCATAGCACGAAGCTCACTTCCATCTAGAGCCAAGATTCAGAATATATGGAGCTATACCACCACGCTCCCATACATATTCATGGCGTGGTGCTTAATTAAGAATAACTTCTGCTTTCACTTTTATGCAACATTACAACCAAATAAGAATACACAGACATTTCTTGATTTACATAGTAGATGCATTTCTGGGGGGGGGGGAGGTTGTGTAAATTAAAAAGCACATACATAAGAGTCAATTTTTCATAAGAAATTAATGTAAATGGGGTGGGGGATGAACGTATGTGCACAGGTCAAGTAAACCTCTAAGTCACCCAGGTTATAGATATTTATTCATGTAAGTATTTCCACTTAGTTTATTTTAATGATTATTTGATTTGAAATTTTATAGTTTTGTTATAAGTAAGTTTTTCCCCATTACAATTCACCCTCCGGTATCATAAACCTGTATGGCCTTCTAACAGACTGTGTGGTAACTGGATAATAAACCTCATTCCATTTAAGTATTGATTCGTGTTGCCAGCACCTTATCTGTAATGGACATAACAGACAATACTGACCATGATATTAAGGAGATAACTACAACATTTTTTATGAAGTGGCGTATATTCTTCAATCACAATAAACGAAATTACAGTAGCAAAATAGGTAAAAGTAAAGTTCTCCCTGCATTTAGTTAGTTAAGCAATATGCCAGAGACACATGAGGGAGTGGAGGTATAGGTCCACCATTCTTGACATTAGGCAGAGATGAGTGGTCAGCTTCATGCCTCAGCGGCTTTACCCCAAGGGAAAGAGCCCCTTGTGTCCACTGGATATGAGGCTGGGTGGACCCCAGAGCCAGTCTGGACACTGTGAACAGAAGAAAGATCTTGCCATCAGGAATTAAATGTGGGTCATTCAGCCCATAACCCATAACTATACCAACTGAGCTATCCAAGTTTAGACAAACTAGCATTTCACTGTTCTGTTCACTTCTGTCTCCTTGAGATGAACATATTTCACAGCAACTGCACTAAACATGCTCTACATGGAAATATTACAGAAATGTTTCTACTTATACTGACAACACAAAACTGTTAACTCATATCACAACTTCTGAAATTAGAACAGTAATACATAGTAATTAGGAGCCAGGATAGCGTAATTGGTATAGCAACTGGCTACAGACTGAAAGACCGTGGTCAGAGTTCGAGTCCCAGTAGGTTCAAGGATTTTCTCTTCTCCACATCATTCAGACCAGCTCTGGAGTCCACCCAAACTCCTGTCCAACAGGTACCAGATGCTCTTTCCCCAGGGGTAAAGTGGCCGGGGAGTGAAGCTGACCACTCACCTCCAGCAAGTGCCAAGGTGAAGAAAATGTGGATCTATACATCTACTCCCCCATACACCTTCATGGCATAATGCTTAATTACTTAAACTACAGGGACAACTTTACCTTTCATTCATAGCAAGTAAAGTAGATTTAGTGGTAAGAGATTAAAACGTTCATCAATCTAAGAATGACATGTCCCACTTCCTATCAAAACAGTTTTCACTGTAAAAACCCTTTTTAATGTGAATTAATCAATCTTATCTTTGATCAAAATTATGTTGTGCTTAGTACTCATATTGGCAATCTTCAGCAATGACTGATTAATATGATTTTCATAATACAACTTTTTTCCTTTCATAAAACAGCCACTGGTTACCACTGGACTATCTTATATCTCCCTTGACCCATCTATACCACCCTGAAGTTAGAGACAGCAGGTTCCTACTACTGCATGCAACTGACTTAATGTTCCATCATGTGACAAACTTAACAGATGTTGCTATAAAGAAAATGGTGATCCTAGACCTTCCATGTTAATTTCATAAAAAGGGCATTGCACATACCAGCATTAGTATGCCCCTTCAACACATACAATGGTTTTGAAGAATCTGGAGCAAAGGCACAAATACAACGATCGTTGCTTCCCGTCAGTATAAGACCCAACGGCTGACCGTCATGAGGGGGTAGCACACACACACATACAACAAAATTTGAGTGTCCCATCAGAGTTTGTGCCTCACAGTATTCATTATTCATTCTGTGAACACAAACACCTATTATTATAACCCAATCAAATACGTTTGTGGTACATTCCGCCACCAGTTGAGTTAAACCAAGGTGATGACAATTATTACCCATTAGGCTTCCAAATCTTCGCACTTTTATCTCTAGATCCAGTAACAATATAACCCTCGCGGGTTACAGCTACCGACCTAACGTCCGAACTATGTCCAAACAGAATACAGCTTAATTTATGGGGGGCCGCAGCCATCGTCCTATTCTCAAACCGTTGTTTCCTTTACAATTGTACTCAGCCCTACAACTCGCCTCACACGCCAACTATACAATACGAATAGTCATCTGGCACATCGAACACCTCAAACACCATTCGTCCGTCACACAAGCAATGAATATTAAACGGAAAGTACTTCAACTTTCCTAAATATATGGAGTACGAATTATCGCTGTTAGGAATTAATTCTATAGATAGCAAAGACAATGCAATTTTTCGGTAATATATGGTAGTGTCATTAAATTCAAACTGCTATGAAACGAGAAATATCTTAATTTGAGTAAAAACTATACCACAATCCAACTCTATAAAATAGGTTTATCTTCCCCCTAATATACACCAGTCTCTGAACAAATGACTATCGCGAAAAAAGAGTATAGGCGATTAGGGCCTCGAAATTCATCACAAGAATAAGTACGTACTCTGTGATATGCAATTAATTGCTACTGCCATCTACATATATGTTTGAAATTCTATATCCTTCGCCTGTATATCGATTATTAGCGATTGAAGATATTGATTCGCGATCGTTCGCGATTGGTCTCTTCTGGGCCATGACCGGCCATGAGGGGGCAAGGCGTTGTGCAGGTCGTGTAGCCTGTCATGGCCTGACAGGACTCAACCAGCGTTTCTTTCAGAACTACCTCTGCACTAAAGCCAGAGGCAGTAGGTTCCCTTTATATGTTTATGTTGAACCAGACCTACCAGACTTCAGGATGTCACACTTCAGACAGCAATGATAGGCGACTGCCCTGAGCAACTCAAATCAAATGTTTCTGAAACAGATTCAGTTTCCAAAATGTTGTGTTCTCTAGATTTTTACAATACCAGACGCTGGACAAAGTTAAAAAAAACAGTAGTTCCAGGCATCATACATTATTGTCTGAACCCTTTGGAATTGAGGAAACACTATGTTTTGCCAGCTGTGGCATGTTTCAGAGAATGTCCACGTCATCATCTGATGTCCTGCCTCATCCTCTAACAGAAATGAGTACCAGTAATATTCTTGGGGGTCAGCCAGTGCGAAGGGTTAACAACCTTGCCACCATCTATGAGCCGATTGTCTATAAAATGTGGGAACCTCACCATCCCACAACCTCCATGGCCTGCTACAGGGATATCTTTACTTTTTTACTTTACAAATGGTCACTGCCAGGATTTTGTCAGGAAGGACAGAACATGTAGAAAATTTGCATTCAAACTCACAATTTTTACAAATTTAGAAATAATTGTTAATTTTTATTAATAATAGTTGGTGCATTTCTTTCTATTCTGATTTTCTTTTTAAAAAATCCATGGGGGCATAGGACAGATGCCTTGTTTGTTCCCACTGCAGGCACCTGTGTTTGTACATCTCAGAACAAATCTGCAGTGCACAGGACTACAAAACAGAGAAGTTAACTCATTATATCCTAACATTATAGAGACATTCTTTTAATTACACTTCATCTTTTCATTGATAAAACAGTTGCCAGACCATTTTGTTCCATTTTAAGAGGGTAGTAAATTGAAGGCTTTGGAAAATTTACCTCTTGTACTGAAACTTGAAAACGAAGTAAACTTATGCTTTCAAATCAGCCTACCAACTCATCTTGCCTACTTCCTGTGTCTAATGCTTATTTTGGACTGACATGAAAAACATGCTGCAAGGGGCATGATTCACATGGCTCTACATGGTCTGACAATAAATTTTGCGAACTCATCATGGTAAAAGTGCTCCATATGACATTGCTGAATATCACTGTGGTTACCCTTGAGAAGCTACATATCGATGCCAGCACCTAGTCCATCCTTCAAAACAATTTTGCTGGTTTAACAGCCTTCAGAGCTGCTGTTGTATTACTCCTGATATCATCAATGTCATCAAAATGCCTTCCTTTCAATATTTTCTTTATCTTCAGGAACAGAAAAAAATCTTTAGGGGTTAGATCCAGTGAAGAGTGAGGGTGTTCCACCATAGTTATTTGTTTACTAGCTAAAAACTCCCTCTCTCATTGCTCTAATTCAAGCTCTGTAATTCTCACAATGGCACATCAAAATACAGCAATACCTCGCATAGTACACATAATCGGTTCCACCAATATCCCGGACTGTTTGAAACTGGACTAATCGAGGAACCAAATACATACAAAAAATGATAATTGGTTCAAAAAAATTCTCCGTTTTTCAATAAATAAAACGCGATTAATAAATTCAAATGTCTATATTAGAAATAATTTAAAAAATTCATATTTTTCGCAATTCTTTTTTTATTCTCTAAAAATTGCAATATTAATGTCTGCACATTTTTTTTTGGGTCTTTTCTCTTCATACATTTCTTTGTAGCAATGAATTGCATTGTTTATTGTTTGGAAAATTGTAACGCTACATTCAATATTGGGATCAACTTCCATAATATGCTCTGACAAGGTTTCAACCATTCCAATAATTTTTTATAGTTCTTCAGCTATTAATTCTTGTGCAGGCACTTCAACACAGTCATCGTTGTCTAAGTTGTCCTCTAGTTCTTCATAAGCCCTTTATTCATCTATTAATAAGTGTTTCATTATCTAATTCATTAGTGTTTGATTTGATGCACTCAATAACGTTGACGGAATCTAACTCATTGAAACCAAGTTGCTGTCCGATTTCCACTATGTTATTAGTGACTTCAACAAAATGAATTTCAAAACCAATGAAATAATTTGCACAATATGGTATGATATGTTTCCATACTGCCCTCATATTGCTTGCTGTTAATTCATGCCATGCTTCATCTATATTTTCAATAACGTTTCTGATGTTGTAGCTCTTCCAAAATTCCGTTAAAGTAGTGCTCTAGCCACCTACTCCAGCGATAGCTGTCAGAGCTCAAGAATGAACGACCCAAGCATAGGTACATACATATACAACGGGGAACCCCAGAAAAAAATTAAATATGTATCATATCACATAACTTTAAAACCACATAAAAATAAACTGCACAAAAAGAGACTTGACTGTATAAAGAGAAAAAAACCGATTATTTATTAAAAATAATTTTGTGTACTATTTTTTTAGAATTTATTTTTATTTTGCTCAATTAAGATTTAGTTTGTTTTGAAATTTTCAAACTGGACTATAGTGAATCCAGACTGATCGAAGCCAGACTATGTGAGGTATTGCTGTATATTTAGACAATAATAGATGCCACTCAGAAAAAAACTGTCATAGATCAACAACAACACTGCTGTGAAACACTGATATGCCAACAAACCATACTGAGTTTTCTGCCCACTGCTGCCATGGCAAGTACATGGTGGCCAGTTTGTAAATTTTACTGTCAGACCTCACACGTATGTCATGATGTACTGATCATTTCTGTCATATCTTTGATAACATAAAATGTTATATTTCAGATATCATGGTTAGTATTAACATATTGAGTGCCCATCATGAGAATTTTCTATTTTGTGTTGTTTATGATGTTTAATGGTAATATAATTTTTTCTGAGGTTATATCAATATTTTTGGTATTATTCTGGATCCTGGAAACAGTTTGAATTTGCTGTAGAATAATTACTTCAAATACATGTGATGAAATGAGCTGACAAAATGTGTAACAAAGAACTTGACCATCTTTCCATACTGGCTTAGAATAAAACTATTTAAAAAAGGTTGAATATTTATTCCGCCGCTTCAAGTTGCATATGTACACAATCTCATCATTTAAATTTGACAACATAATTACAATTTATTCTAAGTATCTTAAACGAAATACTATTGAGAACCAGTACATCACCAGGGCAATGATAAAATGATTATAGAAACAACTACGTACTATGTAAGTAAACAAATACAAATAAAGACAGCAGGACTTCATTCATTACAGAGAGTGAAGGCAATCCATAACTTTGGTTTCTGTATTCCTGTTGACAATAGTTTTAATGCAACTGACAAGCACCACACTGGCACACATTCAGGCCAGGGATTAGATAGTAATTATCTGTTTCACAAGGTAATTCATTAAACCAATTAATCTGAATAATGCCTATTTTTGTATATTACAAATATCATACATGTATATTCACTTTCTCTTCAATATAATCCCATATATCAACATAACCACCACCACCATCACCGCCCAAACTATGGAAGTCTCTTATCTGAGAGAGTTTTTCCAACCAAATTCCCATTCTGTAGAACTGGTGCGAGACGTCAAAATATTGAAGTCATGTTTTACACTTACGTTTAACATAAAAATGGGTGCCTTTAAACAAAGAGCCACACACACATGTACAGAGAAGTGTATTAACCCTATCACTGTTATGATAAGGAAGGTTCCACTTCACAGAAGAGCACACACTGACAGCTATGAATACAGAGCTGTTGTGTCAGAAATAGAGAGTCAGTAATATCAATTTCTGTTTCCAGAAGTCACATAAATCTATGACTACTTTCATTATTCACAACATCCCTTGGAAAATTTAGTTACTCAACAGATATTCCATAACAAAATGAGACATGGAAGGCATTAATGTATAAGATAGAAATTGTGTTTCAAAGATAAGAAGTACAATATATTTGCACTGCAAGGAAGAAATACTGATTTCTTGCCCAAACTATGGTAATTTTGTGAATATATGCTAACAAATTGAGAAGAAATATTTTTCTTTACTAAGAGGGAAAGAGTACAAGCTTTGTTACATGGCATTCACTGGCATTAAAATTTCAGAACATCATATTTAACATTATCATCACTTGTGTAAAAGAAATGTGTTAAAATAATGAAACAGAATAAATAGCTAACAGGGGAAGTATAATTGACTCAGTGGGAACAAATAAAAGTGTGACCCTTAGTCTGATCAATGTTAATGCTGTTTTTCTCACAGTCCAACATGAATACCCAACAGAGTTGGTGCCTGGTTTTTGAACACCAGTGGTCACACTGAGTCAGTGAGATTCTGAGAAACTGCAATCATATTACCAAAATCCAAGACATTTTCCATTATTTCAGCTTACAATAATAAATTCTGGAATACCTTGAACACACTTGTAACATCACATGAGCTTTATGCAAGTACAGAATATTTCACAAGAGCTTACTAAGAAAGTACGGCAAAGAAAAGTCTCACATAGGAAGAAAGTAGAAGTAATAATAATACCAAAGGCTCTAAGTCTAATCCTTTAAAAATAGGTATCAGAAGTAAGATGTGTAATGAAGATGAAACATGTTGATATGCGGATGTGATTTTCATTCCAAGCTCATATTCAGCACCTTCAAAGCAAAGTAGTGATAGAAATTGAGCAGTCATCTTCACACCCTGATTATCTTACCTCATAGAGCCTCTACGTACCAATAGGACAGACAGCTGGGTCAGTCCCACAACCTCAAGATGACAACTGAAGTTAAGTTTTAGTTGCTGGCTAAGGTTTTTTAGTATGTTTTGAGTATTGTCATGTGCTAAATTGTGAAGTATACATGTGATGTGTTCCTGTAGGTCCTGTGCTTATCTTGGGATGGATCACAGAAAGTACTCCATCAGAAGCCCCCACTAACAGATGTCTAGTATTAAGACACCTGGAGAAAATTGTCTGAAGTGACTGTCTCCCTTCAGAGATTGCAAATATTTCATCAGAAACATTCTTATGAGTATGCTGGGAGCTATACTTCGCATGTCAACAGCTACTAGCCCCAGCACTTATTTATCAGCACTCTTATTATGCATTTTGCTGGTGCCTGTTTTCTGAACTCAAGTTCATACACTTTAAAACTTGGTCTCCCTTTGAACACTTTTAAATAAAAGCACAAAAATAAGTTCTATAATATCAAGATCCTTTAAACTTTTAAACTTCTGAGAAGACTGGACAAAACAATAAAAGGAAACAAACATTTTCTCTTGCACATAACAAAATACATGTTCACTCACAAAGGTTGTCACCTTTCACGCTGTCTTATTTTTATCCATACTGTACATAAACATGTTTTGTGACAACATGTCTGATTGAGTGATCAAGAATTATCATCTGGACCAGGGATAGCATTAGGGAGATACACTCCACATATTTTAATGCTCAGCATATCCAATAACACAAGTGAGTAACATATCTGATAATTTCTATAAAATATGTGATTAGCACAAATCGATTCACATATTGGTCCACAAATTAATCAGCATTTTTGATGTTGATGTTTAATCATTCAAACTCATTACACATCACAGAAACAAAAACATGAATATTATTATGTGACTTAGGTATTTATGCATTAACAGATGGCTCAAGCAACTTTAAAATGTATTGCCTTACAGCTAATGACATGAGCACATGTGTTATTGATCTGTATTTTACTTCCAGCACCAAATCCACATCTGTCAGTTTGATGTAGAAGTTATCTCACATTATGAAATCGTTCAGAAGTTATGAAACTGCGGGATCTGCTGATAATCGAAGAGGAGGAATCAGCTTTCTTTTTCAGTGAGAAGGAATTCTGCCAAGCAAATGAACATGCAAGAACAAGCATTCAATTATTAAGTTTTCTAACAGTGCACCACAAAAGGCTTGCAGAAAGAAAATGAATGTGCATGATAGCAATTGTTTTGGGAATAGCTGGCTTTTCTTTGTTTTACATACAGATGAAATTACAAGCACATTTCCACCAAGTGGTCAAAATGCATATTGACTATGCATTTGCTAACATGGCTGACTACATCCACTGCCCTGTTACTTCTTACAAATTCTCTTTAATAAATACAAAGGTCAGGTCTAAAAGTATGGCCTCTAGGCACTGCAGTTTATAACATAATTGCTCAGTATCATGATGTAACTGTCAGAACCATTTATTCTGTGCTTTTAAAATCTGTGGTTTGTATCTTTCTTAGATAACTCCAATCCTGATTAGAAATACCATAATCTGCAGCATGAAAATGGGACAAGATAGATTTGCACTAATCCCCCAAGATATTTTTCAATATCTCTTTGTTCTGCAATAAGCAGTGTAGTTCTGTCAACCATCCCATTCTGATAAACGATAAAGAAACAAAGTCTCAGTATGCTTACTGTCGATGTACACCTTATGACAGTGAGTGATTCTTATGTCACATGAAATGAATGCTAAGGAACCCAAATGAAATCAGAACAAAAACATTTTTTTTAAGTAGTTCCAGCAATCAGGACAATAAAAACTGTCACTGTGAATGAAAATGGGAAGAAAGTGTGTTCCAGGGCAAACCAGTGGGCCAAATGCAACACTATCATGATGTGAGACTATACTGTTCAGAATAGGATGTACGTATAATCACTCTCATTCTGCCTGGTTTTTCCCTTGTTTTCTTTTCTTCATCCACGCACATACCATCATATTACTTTGAAAAGGTCCATGGTCTCCTCATCACACATTCTTACAAACTCACTTTTCATTAGCATCCTGTCATTCTTCATCTGACACTATACAACCTAATCAGTTAGTACACTGTCTTTAAATAAATAAATAAACAAACAAATTAATAAATAATAAACAACTGGAATCACCTTAGTAAATATCACTCTCTTTCTCCCACATTATGTGAATGTTGTATGTCATTTACAGAAAATACTGAAGTTGCCAGAAAGCAACTCCTTGAAAGTCAGAAAAGTTAAACAGCTGAAATATATAGTTTTTACTTTGATAATTGAACAACAAAAATGTTGTTATGCCTACAACTGCATTCAATGATACATTAACGTGTAACTAGTTGAATATGGCCACACCATAGCTCAAGCGGTTAGTCGCTGGCTTCCCACCACGGCGACCCAGGTTCGAACCCGGGGCTGGGCAAGTGGGATTTGTGGTGGACAAAGTGGCGCTGGGGCAGGTTTTCTCAGAGTACATCGGTTTCCCCTGCCAATCTTCAATTCATCATCTATCATCTGGGGCTGGTACAATAGGCCAGAAGTGGCCACAGTACAAGGGACTTAGTCCCACCCCACTAGCAATAAAAAAATCCCATTCCACTAGTAATAAAAAAAAACTATTTGAATGCATGTGGGTTCTTCTTAGTTGTTACAACTGATCAGTACAATTAAGTGATTCATTCTCAAAATGACAATTACTTTACTCCTTTGATTAAATTAACAAAACATCCAGATTTACAGTGAATATCTATTAATTTCAGAGTTCAGAATTTTGTAATAATGACATCCTTGTAATATATTTTGTAACCAGTAATCATTTGGAAACTTTAGACTTATCTTAGTCAGCTACTCTGTCCATTGATCTACAAGTAAAGTGGTAGGAAGTATCCTGAATCAAGAATACCAGAAGTGGGTGCAAGGGAGAAAGTTGTCCTTCTTCCTCTGATTTGCCAGCCTCTGCATTCTTCAGTTTGCCATGTCAAATTCAGAACACTTCCAAAGTCTTTATCCTGAACCAGTTCTTTGGCTTCCGACTTGAATCCTGATAAAATACAGTACACTCCTGATTATTCAGAGTTGATAACAAAATTAATTTCCCCAGATAATCAGCAAAAAGAACATGTAACTAACTTCTGAATTGGGGTTTGTAAAACAACACATACATTTGTAAGCATATTTTACTTGAACATTATTGGTAAAAGAGAATCGAAACAAATATCTTTTGACATTGGACACACCAGTCAGTTTTCTAAACAGAGCCCCTGGATAATATACCCCCAGTTAATTAGGAGCCTACTGTATATTCTATTAAACAATTAATGTACCACTTGTTATAATAAGTTCAGTATCCACGGTGATATAAGTGGCGCCTATCATGATATGGTGTATTGTCATTTCTCCATTTACGTTGCCAGAGGCACACCATGGCCAAAAGCACCTGAGTGCAGAGGAAAATAGTAGCAGCAGCCGCAAGCCCAAGTATGTTCATACAGAATGGATGCTCCCCACTTCTTTCAGTTAATCTTGCTCTGTTCCTTTCATCTTCCATCTCTTTCTTAAACTTAAACTTATCAGCAATCCGTATACTCTGAACCAACAGCATATCTTCGTCACTCGTCGCATTAATATTTCGTCTTCGTCTCCTCTTTCCATATGAATCAACCTTGCGTTCTATCCCATAATAATCTTCCACATTACATAAAACTGGTTCACATGATGGAAGACATGGAGTCACCAAAGCTTTAAACTGCACGACATCTGAAGTAGGGAATTTGAATGCATCAAATGGAGCCTGAAGGGATCGAGCTGCTTGGTCTACAGTTGTAATGGGTCCCATGATAGTTGGATCTGTAGGACAACCTAAGCTATCTATGAGGAGAATCTCACTAGAGTCAACACCATCTAAAGCTACAAGTTCTCGGACAAATATCTGGTATGGTGTGTCTTCATCAAGGATGTTAAATCGTAGACTTAGGGCATCACCAACTTGAGCAGTATGAATGTCCTGACCCTGACGATCAGTAATTCGCATGGTGACTGTGGGCGACAAAACATAAGCATTCTCCTCATTTTCATCCGGTTCACCGCTCACTTGGAGTTCCATACCATGTCCTACACTGCGATTCTGAAGATTATAAGAACACCTAATAGAGAGCCCAACATCCTGGCTTGTTACAATCTGGTCATGGTGCTGAAACATATTAACATGACATTTATTTATGTATTTGTTTATTTACTTTATTCTTATTTATGTAATTGTTAAATTCAAGTTTACAGAGGTCTATACTCATGTAACACTAAGTTACTAAATTGCACAGTCCTCAAATAAGTTTACAATTACATGTGATGTTTACAACAATCTGATATCTTATACTAGTTTACCACTATCTAGTTCCTACTTTGATGATTACTGTCTTTTATGATATGACACTGTATCATCTGATATACATTTACAAACCTTTAAAGGAATCTACTGCCTACATTGTCAAAGTAGAAGTCTCTAAGAATTTATGTGAGATTTGAGGTTATTACAGTAGTGACTTTGTAGATAATACTTAGAAGAGTCTCCTACCATGAAGACTAAAGCAGTAAGTTCCTCTAAAACATTAGTATACACCAAACTACATGGCGCCATAATCCAGAAAACAGTAGCCTTAATAGTGACAGCCATGGGAACTCCAAATTGCACAAAATTTCTGTTTACTTATTCTTGTCTTTTAAGTCTGGTCTTCTGTAATCTACTTTCCCACTTGAATTTAACATTAAATAAGTATATACCCATATTCTCAAGAACACAGTTGTTAGCATTTCTTGTGTGCTAAGTCCTCCTTCATTAGTAACCAATTCTTACTTAGAAGTTCCTCGCTCCATTTCCTTGTTTTATTACACCTTAATAAAATATGCACCGCATCCTCCCCCTTGATAAAAGAGGCAGCTTTCTCAACTTGAAGTGCATGAAGAGGGAATCAACAATTTGAAGAACAACATTCACGACTGACACAATAGGATTGCAGATTCACACATCACAGCTAGACACAATTGTTACTATTCTCTTCACTATATTTTTCCTGTTAATAAAAATGATATTAAATACATTCTTTTCACTTCTAAATTATTTCATGTGGGCTGAATCTGTAACTTCCTTCTATAGAAACTGTCTGTTGTTATGAAACACAAATCTCAGGACTGTCCCTATACAAGTTCCATTAAGTCCTTATGCAATACAGAATTTTGGAAGATACGCATTGAAAAGAAATGTCACAGACTGTTTCTGGACATCGAATGATTTTTTAATGAACCAGAGAAACAGAGGTCCTTAGAGACCATCATCAGAGGGACACCAATGAAGTTTGGAAACCAGTATTATAATAAGTGTTCTGAATGTTGAAATATTGTGACGCATCACGCTAGCTGGACCCCCCCCCCGGAGCTGACGCGCCGAGCGGAGCCGAAGTTAGCCGAGTCCCAGCGTCCTGGTAGCTATGCAACGCGAGTCAACAGCGGTGACGTAAGACGGCGTGAGGTAACAGCGTTGCTAGGCTATACGCAGACACTGTTACATGGCACGCAACGACGCTGTTGACGCAGGCAACAGGCAACAGCGAACGGAATAAAAGCCGGCTGAGCAGTAAGCGTGAGTGAGTTGTAATGTGGCCGTCGGCGAGTTCAGTTGTAGTCAAGTTAACTTGTAGCCGTCCCCGGAGGGAGTTAGTTTGTGATCAACAGTTCCCCAGTCAGCCGCCTACAGTTGGAGTATAGCAGCATTCGCGGAAAGAAGAACCGGACGTGTGTGTAGTTGTGTAATTGGGAGTGTGTGATACAGGGACACTTACATAGCTCCCATACTGTAAACGTGTAGACTACTGAAGAAAGAGTGAATTGATCTGCGAATAGGGTTATGAATCATGAAACCCCGCAACAGTGTAAACAGATTATTGCGATTAGGGTTATAAAGTGTGAAACCCCGCAACTGTGTGATAATTAATTGTAGCCGTTACTTGTAGGTTGTTGAATAAACCAATTAGCAATCCGTACGGCGTCTTCAGTAACGAAACACGTTACAATATATATACATACAATGTTGACAATACACAAATGGATAAAAAAATTCAAAGTTTTCACAACTACAGTGGCTGTCTTGATATGTTAATTTTTTTTAATCTTCTGTTATTTAAATTAGAATTTATAAACCAAATAGGTTCCTGTCCTCTCTCTTATCACCTCTCCTGACGGGGGCCGAACTTGTGCCGCCTGTCTTTCTTGAGAAGAAGGTTCTGCAAATATATTATGGGTATTGTATTATTTCAGCAACCTTATTATGTTATTTTTTTAAGGAGTTTTGTTGTTTCGTCCTACTTTAGATGTCGTCCTGTGGTTGTTCGCGGCGCACTGTGTTGTTTTTATGACCGCGGTACCCAACAAGCACAAACTTTCCTATAGCCCAAACTTTCAATCATCTCTTGTACTGCACTGTGCCTTATTCCAAGTTTTTGGGCTATTGTGTCCACAGTCACACACCTGTCATCTTGAATGATCTCACCCACTCTTTCCTTGTTGCGTTCAGTTGAGGCTGTTCGAGGACGACCGCTCCGAGGATCATCTTCGATGCTGGTGTTCCCATCTTTAAAATGTTTCACCCATCTTCGAACACTGCTCACACCCATGCACACACTTCCATAAGCATGCTGAAGTCTCTGGTGAATTTCTACAGCAGGGATTTCCTCTTTCACAAGAAATTCGATTACAGCATGCTGGTGAAACGACATATGGTTGTCCCCCATTTTATTAGGAGTGATACTGGTCACGTGATGCAAACTATTGACGTCACAAGACACTCAAAGTTAACATAACACCTGGTTCCACCTACCACCATACGCTCTTTCGCCTGCTGTTCCCCGGTTGCATGCAAAAAAGAAGTTGCTCATGACTTTTGGTACGACCTGCATACTGTCCTAGGGTGTGTTGCACCGCGTATTTATACTTCTTGTGTCTGTGACAGTGTGGGCGTGTACTGATGTATATGAGGTTGAACATTTTATGTTGGTTATTACTTTCCTTTGTGTGTTTTTGTTCTTCTATCAATATTGATAAGAGAGAGGACACGAACCTATTTGGTTTATAAATTCTAACTTAAATAACAAAAGTTTTAAAAAATTTTAACATATCAAGACAGCCGCTGTAGTTGTGAAAACTTTGGATTTTGTATCCATTTGTGTATTGTCAACATTGTATGTATATGTATTTTAACATTCAGAACACCCATTGTAATAGTGGTTTCCAAACTGTATTGATGTCCCTCTGATGATGGTCTCTAAGGACCGAAACATGTAAGGGCATGAAGAATTGAAATAAGAAAAACATCACCAGTCACATTGGATGGAATTGTTTCATCTTTTATAATATTGTTAGTGTGACGGACCAGAATGAAACAAATCAGATAAGTGATGATATTCTTTCAGATATGATGGAACATTTATGAGACCTACAAGTAACAAAGAAGGAGCATGTTCCTCCTGCAGTCGAAGGTTTCCTGTGGGTATAAAAGTGATACAAATGGAGCTCCCTCCATTATAATTGACTTGAGAGACTTCCACTTGATGATTAGGAGAGAGAAATATATCAAAACATGTGACAGTTGTGTAGTATGTCTAAAATAAATACAGACATCTGTTTCATTTAAGTTCCTCACAGTGATGAGTATGAAAAGTACAGTTTTCTGGGTTGTAATGCGATGTAGTTTGGAGAGAAACTGATTCATTGGATGAAAACATCGTCTCCACCTTCAGGATTGAAGAGTAAGCCACACAAGAAAACAGCAGAAGCAGGCGGCAAGCTTAGCTTACTCTTCAACCCAAAAGATGGATATAGTACTTTCCTCCTCCAAAACTTTGAGCTCTGCTTGCTTCCCACTTCTACTGGTTTCTTGATTAGCTTCCTTTTTTACCATGAAGATGGATGCAATATATTCCACCAATATGTCAGGTTTTCTTAAAACTGTATGCCATTACAACCCCTTCAAAACACGCACTGTGTTGAGGCATTTATATTATATAAAGTATTTACTAACCAGATGGACGAAATAATGTTAGATGACCAAGAAGATGAGGGGAGGATTTTCTCTGAGAAGTGTAACGTCAGAAACTACTGACATGTCCCTTAACTAGGAAGCCCCTTTCATTCCATTTCCCCCTCTCCTCCTGCTGGACGCTTGGGCCCTTCACCCTTTCACCAGGGACTAGCAGGTTCGTCTGAAAACCGAAGGGGATTCTGCTGCACACCGTGGAAGAGTGTGGTGCTCGTCTCGTTCCAAATTATCTCTTGAACATTTTTAGGTTTGCTAAATTAACGGCGGAGTTGGTGCACTGTTTTCCGTTGTTTCGTCCTCATCTGGGACAGCCTGTATTGTTCCTTCATTCGACCAATTATATTATTATATTTATTTGGTGTGTGTATTGTTTAATTTTTTTTTTACCCCGAACCACTTTTCGGTCCTGGGCCTTGGTACGTTTCAGAAGAAACAGGCTACCTACCTTCCCTACCTTGACATACCTGTAGATGATGATTTAAAAATTTCTAAGTAAAATTAATAACTTCCATTATAATCTGTATATTAAAGTATGTAGACCCATTACTAAGTATTAATTCTGTAATTAACGGTCACTGCTAGGTAATGGCTGTAAACAGTAACATAGGGATGGTGTTCTCTATGCGGTCCGAGCGATAACCACGTGATGAAACAATACAACTCTTGGTATGGGTCTTTTCTATGAGGTCCGTGCTGGCGCTATATAACGAGGAACAGCTGCGATTATGAGAGAGTCTTGAGACGGCAGTGAGAAAAGTACGAGTTTGGTGTTAAATAGCCGCCAGCCAGGGAGTGAGTTGAGAGACAGTCGTCGGCTAGTAAGGACGTGAACACGGATGCCGAGGAAGCTACGGCATTGAAGCCGTTACCAGGCGACAACCGGTGAAGATACAGCAGACTGAGAAAACTCAGTGCATGCTGTAATAAACTGTGGAGTGCATGAATTAGAGTTAGCGTTCAAGTTACTAGTAGTTTGATCTGCAAGTGTTCAATAAATTCAATTACCAATCCAAGCTAGTCTATAGTCATTCCCTCAGGTGACGATACGAGTATGAAAACATTGTAAGTAGGTACAACAATTTGTAATATAAACTACGGTAACTTGCGGTATTTACGACTGAATTCCGCTACTCAATTTAAAAAGCCCTAAACCAATAAAACGAGTCGGTATTATTATGAAAACCTATGATATTGATACGAAATTCCATATCGACCAGCCTTTCTACGTATACCGTTCAATGCTTCTTTGGGGTAGAATGAACCTTCGTTACATTGTTAATTTTTTCTTTCTCTATGGTTCTACAGCCCTTCGGATCTTGGACGTTTTTCCAGGTTTTAATCTTGTACACAGTCGGTAGGACTCCTCTGACGGGGGATCAGCCCGTTGCAAGGCCGCTACCTACACATAGAACAACATGAACACAGAATAAACGCACATTACATGCATTCATGCCTCGAGTGGGATTCAAACCTACGACCCCAGTGTTCGAATGGGGGAAGACAGTTCATACCTCAGACAGCGCGCCCACTGTGATCGGCACACCACTAATTAGTGTAACATGTTAACACTTCGGGCACAAAATTCGGAAAGTGATGTGTTCAGGGTTTAAGACAGGTCAGATGGAGGGGGAACCAGCGGGGCCCCAACCCCATTCCCAAAGCCATACAGACGTATAAATATATTTAATTTGTTTCAGGAGCCGGGATAGCTCAGTCGACATAGCGACGGCCTGTGGCTGGAAGAACGGGGTTTGATTCACGGCAGGGGCTATAGATTTTTCTCTACTTCACAACGTAAAAACTGATTCTGGGGCCCACACAGCCTCCTATCAAATAGATAGCGGATATCTTTCCTCGGGGGTAAAGCGGCCGGCGTTTGAAGCTGACCACTCACCTCCATCTAGTGTCAATGTCAAGAATGGTGGAGCTATATCTCGACTCTCCCATGTGTCTTCACTGAGTGATGCTTAGTTAGTCAAGCAAAGGGACAATTTTACCTTCGCCTTATTTAATTTGTTTCATATCAGTCACTAGTCGCACTTTGCTCTCTAACAATATTAAAAGAATCATTTGAAGGTGACAGATTAAAGAGTGGGTGAGAACCCGAGGTTCTGCTCTAAGAAATGAGTTCTAAAAGGTTCTGACAATCAGAACTAATGGGTTTTTGCACTCTTTGCATCGTTCGGTATTCTGAGTAAAAATGAAGAACACGACGCTTCGGAAACTGGATCTGTTTCCGTCATCAGGTGAGGCAGTGGGACACACCTACTCTGTTGGGTCCTTTAGAAAGAGCTAACTTCAATCAGCTCTTTCTAAGGGACTCAACATACACGTAGTACGTGCAACTGAGGAAGGAAACAGAGCCAATTTCCAATATGTTTTATTCTTTAGAATACTGGAATGTAAACAGTCCAAAAGCCCATTAATTCTGATTCTAATGTAATAATTTCAAATAATTAATGATACATAATATGATATATTAGCAAACCGATATTAACGGCGGTGGGGATCCGTTGCGCTGACTACGTGACACCTCTATCCGAAAAAGTAAGCACTAACTTCGCCGATAAGCGGCGGTTGCTCGGTCGGTATAGTTCGCTTGTGGACTACATGCCACGGATTTTGTTTTTATATAAAACACATAAATGCATTCCCAACTAATCATTTCATGAAGCACAATGAAACTGACTGACGACATTGGAAAAGTTTTTTCTTTGAAATTATCTGAACACTGTAAATGAATATCGAAGAGAGGCAACAATTCAATTAAAGTGAATTTACAAACTTTTGCTTATTGCAATGTTTTTAATTAAGTTAGAATATACGTGAGGACTCCCAGAACAAGGCACCTGCTGGCTCCCTCTCTACATGGGCTTGAGTGCGATTCTTGTCATCTGGCTAAAGCTAAAGTCGATTCAAGAAAATAAGAAACAGGGGCAGTTTACCTGGATGATAATGTCGGTGCTGAATCTACCAAGAGCATCCTGCCTGACGTCGCAATTGAGGTCATGGTACCCCAGCCTCAGATCGAACTCCAGGTCATTGACAACGTCGGTCACGCAGGAGTTCGGACGGTTCTTGGCATAAACCTTACCGTTGAAGATCTTGTTAGTTCTGATTCTGGCCACCATGTCGGACGCTCGACAGTCAACTGTCACATTGTAGCATGCCGTCAGTTGATACGTCGTCGCTGATTCTAGGTCGAGGTAAGGTTCCTCGATGTGCTGCAGGCTGGGTGTGGCGTGGTGCGATAAGCGGCACACGCCAGAACCTGCCAAATATTTCAATCACGCTTCAATGCCTGGCAACCCTCCCATGTGAACATAGCAACGCTGTTCCTTTGTTTATTTAAGAATAACCATTTCATGCCCGGTCACGGTAGCCGAGCGGTCTTTGCTAGCTCGGAAGCCGGGATCGTGGGTTCGAACCTCACTCAGGGCATGGATGTTCAGTGTTTGTGTGTGTGCGTTTTTCTGTGTTTATGTACAGGCAGACACCTTGCGACGAGCTGATCACCCGCCCAAGGAGTCTTACCGAATGTCTAAGATTTAGTAAACCGAAGTGAAACGGAGAGTTTCATGGAGGTAAGCCAAGGTCCAAATTGGGGTTGTAGCGCCAAAGAAAGAAAAAAAAAAGCATTTCATGCCAGATATGAAGTCGCATTTGGAACTTAAATGAATTCAGAGTGAAATTCGGCAACTGTGAATCTGTGTTACTCTGGCCATGAAATTCGTAATTTCCGGGTTGTTACTATCAGGGATACTAAATTACAATGACGTACACATTTACATTACGAGTTATAAAACGCATTTCCAAAAGTGAAATTTCTTAGTCTTATAAAGATAAGCCTCTGCTAAACAGAGAATGTTGTCATCACAAATTGTGTTAAGGGCGAAATAAAATAAGTTTGTAGGGCCGCACCATAGCTCAAGCATTTAGTCGCTGGCTTCCCACCGCGGCAGCCCGGGTTCGATCCCGGGTTTGGTCAAATGGGTTTTGTGGTGGACAAAGTGGCGCTGGGGCAGGTTTTCTCCGAGTACTTCGGTTTCCCGTGCCACTCTTCATTCCACTAATTGCTCCACAATCACCCTCACCAATCATCTGGGGCTGGTACAACAGGCCAGAAGTGGCCGCAGTACAAGGGACTTAGTCCCACCCCACTAGCAATAAAAAAAAGTTTGTCGTTCATTGATGTTCTTGGATCTACGAGTAAGACGGAAGAAATAACAGGAAGCCGGAGAAAACTGCATAACCAAGGACTTCATCGTTTGTGCTGTTCACAAAATATTGTTAGGGTGTAGGATTTGAAGTTCTCTTGGGGGGAGGGGGCGTATAAAGAGTACTATCTACTGAGGTATAACGCCGTGTATTTCGTTTAAAGTCAACTACAATTTCGGAGGAATATGTCGTTTCCATCCTCAGGTTTTCAGACTAAGAGGTGCAAGAAAGCAGCTTCGAAGCTGGCAGCGAGCAAAGCCAGCTGCCTGCTTCATTCTGGTTTCTCGCGTTGCTTACTCTTAAATCCTGTAGACGGCGGCGATATATTCCTCCGAAACGTCAGATGACTTTAAACGGACCACATGGCGTTATATCCTAGAAAATATAAATGCACTCCGTGGCCTGTAGTCCGCAAGGGAACTATACCGATCGAGCGACCGCCGCTTGTCGGTGAAGTTAGTGCCAACTTTTGCGGAGAGAGGGTGTCGCGTAGTCAGCGCAACGGATCGCCACGGCCGTTAATCTTGGTTTTCTAGACCGGAGCCGCTGATCCCGTTCCAGACCAACTACTTCTCAGAAAATCTGGTAGCGCCAGGAATTGAATCCGGGGCCTCTGGATCTATAGCCAGGAACTCTGACCACTAGACCACAGAGGCGAGAATGTTATTAGGATGACCAAATCAAGAGGCATGAAACGCACGGGAGAGATGAGAAATGAGTACACAATTTTCGTCTTAGTAATTAATGGTTTACTTAACGACACTGTCAGTATTAGGCTATACAGCGTATAATGATATGATAACTGGTGATAAATTAATTGGTAAGGATTTGGAAGGAAGCGATCGTGGCCTGACTGAGGAAAACCACGAAAAGCCTCTGCTAGGACAGCCGGTTTCACGGCCAAGAGTCTGATTATGAATTACAAGTCGTTAGGATTTGAGCCAAATTGTACGATGTAATTTTAATCAGAAAACGTGAAGGTAAGTGACCTCTCGGTAGAAATGAGCAGAGTCGGGAGGATAATATTAAAATAGGTCTTAAATAAATTTAGTGGGAGGCTGTGGACTGGTTCATTTGGCTCAGGGTGGTAGTCAATGACGGTAGCTTGTGAACACCGTAATGGTCTTTCGGATTCCGTAAAAGGTGGTGCTTTTATCTGAGCAAATATTATCTTTTTGAGAAGAATTCTACTCCATGGAATTCGCTGGTTAAGTATAATTTAATAAAATAATAAATGTGCCTACTTAATCCAGTTGTACCGTTGTGTTTCTGTGATTGTGGTTGTGTCCACCATGAAATGACCTTGAATCCTCTTTTAAATAATATTCCGGTCACATAGTTCCAAATTTCATGGCGTTCAATTACAAAAAGGACACAAATAACAAAGACTATTTTAAACTTTATTCAAAGTGTTTTAATATGGAAATGTCTCTTCGGCCAAAGAAATTTGATTAAACAAAATGTGCGTCTTTTTTGTGATGGACATTAGTTAGTTATTTATTGGAGAGGGTGGGTTTCCCCATGCACTTAGACCTGTATTGGTCCATTGTGCTTCCCTCTATGATTTCTACCAGTCTCTATATCCTACCGGTACTGGTGCTTACCATCAGTCCCGCCCAGCCAGCGAGACCGGCTCTACTAGCTGAGAGGTATCTATAATGCTTCCCCCATCGACCGGATGTAATAGAGACTGCTGTTGGGCGGGAAACGTCCGTAATTTGGCTCAGTGACCTCCTTTGGAGATATGAGGTTCTTTTACGTGCCGTAAAGCTACGACACGGGACCCACGGCTTAAAGTCCCTCCCCGAGGAATTGTTCCCTGAATTTTTCCGTCCTTAAAAATTCGACGACCTCCGCCGGGTATTTGAACCCGCGTACTACGAGTCATGAGGTGGGAACGTTACCTCTAGACTACGGAGGCCGCTTTGTGATGGACATTGCTCTTGACCAATACATCCTATAGCATATGTAAAAATATGTTTAAATTCCATCAAATGAAACGATGTTTTTTATTAATTAAATAAAGCCTCTTTTTCTCCTTTGGCGCTACAGCCCCAAGTTGGCCCTTGGCCTACCTCCATGAAACTCTCCGTTTCGCTTCTGTTTACTAGATCTTACACATTCAGTAGGACTCCTTGGGTGAGCGATCAGCTCGTCGCAAGGCCTCTACCTGCACATAAACACAGAAAACGCACACACACAAACACTAAACATTCATGCACTGATTGGGATTCGAACCCATGATCCTGGCTTCCGAGCGAGCGAAGATAGTGCATGCCTTAGACCGCTCGACTACCGCGACCAGCAAATAAAGCCTCTGAGTAGACGCATTTCAGCGGATGATGGCTATCGTCTGAAAGCCAGCAACACTTCAAAGGAAAGGCTGTGAAGGAACACAACCGTCACAGCAAGATTCTACACAATTGAAAATTCTATTACTTTAAAAAACATATTTTAGTGTTTTAACCTTTACAACAGATGCTTTAGGTACTCTGTCCTGTAGACCAAGCAATTTTAGGCAAAGGGTTAGGAAAGTGATAAATGAGGCGAAGTGAAGTTGGGGTGGAAATAATTGAAAAGAAAAAAAAATTGCAGTGAAGTGAAGTGAAGTGAAGTGAAGTGAAGTGAAGTGAAGTGAATGACATTACGCATCCATGACTGTTGGTTTCCTTTTGTTTGTGTTTTGGGTGTTGTATTTTTTTTCTCTCTCTCTGTATTTGTTGTTGTATTTGTTGCAGTAGTTTGTATTTCTCTGTAATTGTTGTAGTTGTTAATCGTATTTGGTTTGTATTCATTGTGGTAGGATGTCCTAATTGTTGTGTTTTGTGTATTGTGTTTTGTTTGAACGTGTTGTCACTTAGTGTAATGTGTGTTACTTGTCTGTTGTGTCCTATTGTGTACTGCTGCCACCGGGCTAAAACCCAATTGCAGTATAATAAATAATATTGTAACGTGTTTCGTTACTGAAGACGCCGTAGAGATGGTTAATTGGGTTATTTAACAATCTACAAACAACGGCTACAATTAATTATCACAATATTACGGGTTTCCACACTTTACAAACCCTACAACAAAATCTCTTAACACAATCTTCACTTGTCTTCACGTACTAATAACGCGGGAGCTATACAAGTCTCCCTGAATTACACACTTTCACTCGTAACACGCCGCTGGCTAGATCCCAACTCTGCTCGCAAGATGCTGCCTTGAGAACTGTTCATAACACACTCGGCGACTGTCACAGTACAATTGACTGTGAATAGCCTTCGCTGCTCCTTATGTAGCCT